ACACACACACACACACACACACACACACACACACACACACACACACACACACACACACACACACACACACACACACACACACACACACACACACACACACACACAACGTATATTTTTAAAAGTTTAACTGACCAAATAAAAATGTTCATAAATAAAGATGATGATTAAATGTAGAGAATAAAACGATTGCCGCTCAACATCGCACCCTTCATTCACCATTAAGTAACCCTGTTATTTAACATCTGTGAATCAGTGTCGGGCAGCATAATCTATTATTTACCAAAAGCTGAAACAGCCCTAATAATTGACATCCACCCAACCCAGACCTGTTAGGATGAAACAACAGAATTGCTTCATGCTGACAAAATAAGAGTTTTAATGATGAGTCAGTGTTTTCTTGATGTGCACGCATGCAAACACACACCAAAGTCAGTATGACAGTAAAACTATGTGTGTTTTATATTTCAACATCATTTAGCTCTTTAACGACCAAGAACAAATATACATTTTACACTACTGGTTAGAATTAACAGCAAAAATGTCATACCATGATTCTTTTACAGCAAAATCACAACTTTATCCCAATATTTATCTTATGTTTTGTTTTATTCATTCAATATTTGGTAAGTTTCAGAGTGCAATAAAACTATTTCTATATGTCAAAATGATGATGAATAACTTGGGTGTTTGTGCAGTTTTAATGTAATAGACAGAATGTTTCTTTATGACTAATATTACAATCTCAGTTATTTGGCTAATTATCAGCAAGTCCTTCAAAATCTTTAATAACAATAATTTAGTCTGTCTTTCTATTTCTGCCTTTTGATTTTAGTATAAATATTTCAATGTGTTTTATCTGTAAGTATGAAAATTTGGAGAAAATTAAACAATTTAAACACGCATTTTAGGAAAATCAGATGTTGGAAAAATTATAAAACATGACAAAAATGTACATTATTTCTTTTTATATCTCAACTTTGGATTCATTATCTAAATTATTAATATTGTCATCATTGATTGGGATAATTATTCATTAAAACTTGTGTTTTTGGTTTGTCAGTTTACAGCAGATTGTGGTCAGAATTAGAATCAGAATAAAAACTAAAAGTCAGATTGAACGTAAGTATATTTTGGGATTATAAGTTGCACTTATTTTGTCCACAGGAAAAAAATAAGTGCACTAAAGTAAATTAATTCATCTTAAATTATTTCTGTTAAGTAAATGTACAAATATAGGTTTGGTTCATTTAAAATAATGGGTTTCATATATGTGTTTAGCTGCACTAATGTAAATAAAGTTATTAAAGCTCCTCACAAACACTTTTACATTTAATATCTGGTAAAACCACCTTTAAGCACCATCGACCTGCTTTAAACTGTTCGTTTTGGCATCATTCCTGAGCCACCTTAAAAGCCTGGTTGGAGTTAGCGAGCGACTGCAGCCAACAAACCACAGAGGAGTTAACTTCCAGGTTGCCTATAAAATATTCAACTGCTTGACCACTTTATTCAGCTCATATTTTGTTCCAAGGACGGGGATGTCTCAGCAAGACTCCTCCCGCCTTGTTGAGACCAGCGTTTACCAAAGTCCGACCCCCGCCGAGCGTTTATGGCGTCAGAACCGGACCGACTCAGTAAAGGAAACATTTCAGGGTTTCAGGGAAATTCACTCAGCAGTAGGGCTGCACGATATTAGGAAAGCCTGCGATAATCGATAACAATGATTGATATTGCGATGACGGTATTACTTGCGATAAATAAAAACTTAACTCAGGAACAAAAATAATCAGAACAAAGAAATAAAAAAAATCATAAAAATGAGAAAAGCAAAAGATGTGAAGAAAGGGAAAAAGAAAATGAACCAGAAAAGGGAATCAGTGGATCCCGGGAAAAGCAGAATCAGCAGAAAGAGCAGAAGAAAGCTAACTCAGGTGTTTGCTAACCATCAAAATGAAGTGCCGTCCGCCTCGGGGGCGGGCAACTGACCTGTGAGAACCCACCCAATTGGCCAAATGACTGAAGAGCTCAATTTGATTTGTTAAAAAAAACATCATGTTTCCGTTTGACAGAATGCATCATGTGTAGCAAACATTTCAGCTGACCATTCATTGCGACGTTTATCTGTTCTTTGCGATACGCATATCGTGCATGCTGATATTGCGATAACGAAGTATTTACGATATATTGTGCAGCCCTACTCAGCAGCTATAATGAAAACTGACAAACAAGCTTAAATGGACCCAAGATTCTTTCAGTCACTTTGCAGCTTTGTCTGAATTCATGGAATTTGGGTTCATTTTGCGGCAAAGCTGATGATGTTTATTCAAAACACTGAAATTTGTTAACTTTTACACAACCTGGGGTTCCTTCGGGAGTATTTAAACACTGAACGTTGTTAGAATGACTTAATGAACCTTTCATAAAACAAAGGGTTAAAAGTTCTATGTTGCGCTTCAAACCGGTTTCCCTGCAGTGGTTTGAAATTTTAATTCAATTCAATTCAATTCAAGTTTATTTATATAGCGCCAAATCATGACAAGAGTCGTCTCAAGGCACTTCACATAATAAACATTCCAATTCACAGTTCATTAAGCCAATCAGAAATAATGTGTCCTATATAAGGAACCCAGCAAATTGCATCAAGTCACTGACTAGTGTCAGAGTCTTCACAGCAATCCTCATACTAAGCAAGCATGCAGCGACTGTGGAGAGGAAAACTCCCTTTTAACAGGAAGAAACCTCCAGAGAATCCTGGCTCAGTATAAGCAGCCATCCTCCACGACTCACTGGGGATCGAGAAGACAGAGCAGGCACACACACACACACACACACACACACACACACACACACACACACACACACACACACACACACACACACACACACACACACACACACACACACACACACACACACACACACACACACACACACACACACACACACACACACACACACACACACAGAAGGCTGCAGCTTTTTAAATGCTCAATAAAAATATGTAGATTTACTCTACGATCACGGTTGTTTAAGGGTTTGAAGTCTGAACCTATAAAAACTACATTCAAGACTCAATGTGTTTAAATGTTTTTGAGCATTAAAGGCAAAATTAACTGTAAAGGCTGAATTCCTCCCCACAGGAACTCTCTAGAAGAAGAAAAGCTCTTTTATAAAGCGCCTCTGAAGATAAAAAATCACGAAGCACTTCCCAAGAACAACATTTCAAAAATAAAAGATTCAATAAAAAAAATAAAATACTGTACAAATCAGAAAAATAAACGATTGTGACTTTAAAAAATCTAAAGTCAAATCCTTTGCTCCTGTCAGATTTGTTCTTTTATTACATCACAAACATAAGTGTGTGATACCTGCGTGCAGCCTATACCAAGCTTCTTCACACTTCCTCATTTCTGACCAATCAGCTGACCAGCAGGAGGTTGGCCTTAAATAGACAAGATCCAAAACTAGAATTTCAGACTAAGAGAAAGAAAGAAACCGGTTGTTTATATAGCGCCGCTCAACATAAACATCACGAGGCGCCTCACAACAACAAAAATAAAAATCTTTAACATCATAAAAAAGATAAACAGGAAATAAGCAAATTGTTATTTAAAAAAATGTGAGGTAAAGGGGGAGAGAAATGAATAAGAAAGAAATCAGCTAATCCTAAAGATGGATTCGACAGAGCAGAATAAAGAGAGGGTTGTGATGAAGGTAGCACCAAAGCCTGAACAGGTGAGCCTTCAGCTGCTTTTTTAAAGGAGACCACTGAGTCCACTGATAGGCTCAGGGGGAGAGAGTTCCAGAGTCTGGGGGCCACAGCAGCACATGACCTTTGGTCTTTAGCCTGGTGCTGGACCATCAGTAAGCTTTGGTCACTGGGGAAGTGTGGAGTAACGCTGCATGATTTAGTAAAATATGAACCATTTCAAGCTCCAGTTCTTTATCATATACAAATAATCTTAACTCCTCTTTCATCACCGTCACCCACCTGCAACCCAAACGGGTTCAAGCTTGCTGCCAGGGTGGCACTAGAACCGGCCCTGCTAATAAGCTAATTTAAAGATGATTCTATATTTAACCTGTTGCATAAAGTATAAAACAACAGTATTATGATTATATTTTATAATATTTTGTTTCTGAAGATCTCTTCAAGAACCCTCAAGGATTAGTAATCCACAAAATAGTGATTTAAAACTGCTAAAGATAAACGTTATCGCTAAAGCAGACAAAACAAAATCCCCAAAAGATGCAGATGAAACTTAAAAAATTTGAATACGGTGCAAAAGTCCATTTGTTTCAGTAATTCAGCTTAGACTGAGAGACCATCTAAAGGCTTGGGTACCCTCTGCAGGTGTTACTAATGGGCCATTCCCATCTGTACCGGGTCGGCCCGGGCCGGGTAGCGTAGGTTGTTTACATATCTGGGTGGCCTGGTAATTTTCCGGGCCAACCAAGGCTCATTCTCAGCCCTCTTCTCGAGGGGGTCTGCTTCAGGCCGACCAGGGCCAACACACCCACTGCTGACAGCAAATTCACACCTTCCATTAGAGCAAGCCTCTGATTGGTGGGTAGAATCAGCCCACGTGGGCTTAAGACATGGATGTGTGGAATCAACCGGGCCAGGCTAGGGCCGACTGGGGCTACCCGGCCCGGGCCGACCCGGTACAGATGGGAACGGCCCATTAGCTGATTAGAGTGTGACACATTGAGTCTAGAATATTAAACCTTTTCACAATGTTCTAATTGACCAAGTTTTTAAATTTTGGGTTTTTAACAGCTGTAAGCCATAATCATGACAACTATAACAAATAAAGGCTTGAAATTTCTGGCTTTGCTTGGAATGACTCTATCTCGTTTAACCTTTTAATTTGAATTACTGGAATACATTAACTTTAGCGCCATATTGTAATTCTTTAAGTGTCGCCTGCATATGACGAAGTGCACATGCAAGCAGGACGAGTCCTCTATGAAAAGAGTATAAACAGTTAACATCTTACCTGCTGTAGATACATAGCTTTCTGAACAACCCCGAGTTCTGAGAAAATAGGGATTATGACAGCTTTAGTCTTATGAGCTAACAGCTAGTTTGAGTAGCTTTCTGCACCATAAAAGAGCTCCAGTCATCAAAGTTTAATAGTAATTTATGTCGCCACAGTTTGCATTCTTTTAGATGGAATTTACTTATTAGCAACGCAAACAGCAGCAGTTAGCTGTAGCACTTCCTGTAGGATTGTTAAAATATGTCTGCTGAAATGATGCGACGCAATATTAAAGGTGGTGTAAAGGTTTATGAAATAAGGCATACGTGAAGTCCGATGCAAGTTTTGAGAGTGGAGTCATTTTAAAGTGACAGCAATCCACTTAGGTCTTGACCTTGCTATGATTAGCTGTTAGCTTGTCAGTAAGGTCAACACTAATCTCTGTTTTTCCATACTGAGGTCATTCAAAGAGCTATCTACCACAGGGAAGATAACAATTATTTATAAATGTTCCACAGAATATGAATTTAAAAGACGTGAAACGATGCAACGTTCTTACCTCCAGTCCATAAACCCAAAAGCCAATGGGTGACTGCGGACGATCTCCTAGCTCCTCCTTTTTGGTCCTTTTACTCAGAGGTCAGAGGTCATAAACCTGGCGGGACAAGTTTATTGAAATTCCTATGATGTTTAAATCAAGATGTCAATCAAAGGCTCTCCAAAGCAAAGCATTTGTTTTATTTTTTGTTGTGTTTTGTTAAAGATGCCAGGGTGGTTGACACTCTATGATGCACCACTCTAACCCGGGGAGGAGAGGGAGGGGGTCCTTGTAAAACACTGATAGAAACCGACCGCTTCTTACTTTGAGTTCTTTAGAAAGTTTGCCCTATACAGTGATCCCTCGCTACTTCGCGGTTCGTTTATTGCGGATTCACGACTTCGCGGATTTTTTCTTTGGAGCCTTGTTCAAGGGAAATTCGCCGATTCGCGGTATTTTTCTATGCGAAATATCAAGAAATTCCAATTTTTTTCATCAATTTCATCATAAAATGCACTTTTTGTAATAAAACTATAAAAAAAACAAGTAATAATACAGTACTATGTAAAGGGAGGGTTTTAAAAGTCTGAATACTGAATACGTACCTGTTAAATACTGTAAATATGGTGTCCCTACTTCGCGGATTTTCACCTATCGCGGCCAGGTCTGGAACGCATCTACCGCGATAAACGAGGGATCACTGTAACAATGAAGTTTGGGGAGATGCATGCATGCATGCACACAAACACACACACACACACACACACACATACACACACACACACACATAAGACCATGCCTGCAAGTTCCGTATGTGCATAATGATGATCCATCAGAAGGAAACAAATAAGACCTGCAGACAGTGGAGCAGGATGAAGGTCAGGTCAGGACAGCAGCAGCAGCCATGGATGAAACACCCAGCTGGCTAATTATGTTTCTTACAGGGTGACCAGAGCTGGAATCTGAATTTTCATGAAAAATAATGGATTTTCCATGTGAGAGTCCCACACTTTGACAGAGAAAGTGGAGGGCATGCTGGAAATGTCCAGTCACATGATGGTGGTGATGGCTAATGACGAATAAAACAAGAAACGAGTTTGCTTATCCTGGTTTTCTTTTTTAAACTGAAGACTTGATTAGACTCCCACCTTGCAAGGTGAGTCAAATAAAAACCCTGCTGCCTGCTCGATTTAACCAAACAAGTTGTGACCAAGTTGGGGAACCAAACCCAAACGAGTCGAGCTTGTTAGGCCGGTCTGAGGGGCGAGTCAGCAGCACTACCTCTTTATAACACACACACACACACACACACACACACACACACACACACACACACACACACACACACACACACACACACAGCCCACTGGTTTGACAGACCTCCCCACCCATGGTGCAGGCCTTACATTACAGTCTGAGCACATCCTATTGTAACACAGGATTAAAAATAAACACTGGGTGCGCCATGGGGAGGAGGAGGATGATGATAATGATGATTAACAGACCACTGAAGGGAGATCATTTAGGCGCAAGAGAGGCTAAATCCCGCAGATCCACTGGACTGCGCGCCCATGAAGGCGGGGGCAGGTGATGTGCGTGAGAGCAGGTCGGGTTTTGGATGTCAGCCGGTGTTCTCGGCTATAATTAGCAGCCCATGTCTTCAGAAACGCACCCGGCGACCCCGCTCACCTGCACGGCCGCAAAGTGCGCACAGACTGACGCTCCGAGCTGCGGCTGCGCTATCACCTCCATCAGCACTTAAAACACCTAAAGCAGCGCTGTTGGTTGATTCGGAGGGATTAGAGAGAAAACTCGACTAGATGTCGACGAGTAACCGAATCCATACGTGACGTGGATAGTCCTCCCGTGACCCTGATCAAACTGGAGGGAGGGCAGAAGTTTCTATCAGGACAAACATGCCGCTAAAGTCCCATTTAACTTTAAGGGTCTTAATAGTTTAGCGTCGTTAGAAGAAGCAGGTGAAGTGGTTACCTGAGTGTGTCACCTGTCCCGGCTCGTCGCCTCCCACCTGACCAGCTTCCACACTTCCTGGATTACGCTGTCCCACCCTGCCAGCTGCTTTTATTACTTTCAATTCTCTCAGCGCTTTTTTTCTTCTCCGGCGCCGTGGGGGCGCAGGACACTTCCGTCTCCAAGGGTCTCTCCTCCGGCGCGTTTCTCCGGTCCTCCTCTCGCTGCAGACCGCCGGCACTCCGGGTTTGCTCTGACCCCCCGCGTACTGCCTCCGCTCGCCCACTCCGACTCCCAGCTCCTCCTTTCTAAGAACCAGGAAGCGGCTTGTCCTACTTTACACCGGTCGCGGATTGGCTCTGGCAGGGCTGGAGAGGAGACCGCCGGGGTGGGCGGGGCGCACGGGAGGGACTGTGCGGGGTCCGAGTGGTCCGATAGGCTGGCAGCGGCGTCTGTCGGAGGGAGGAGAGAGGTGAGCACGTTTGGAGACCCCGCTCCACCTCCTCCTCCTCCTCTGGGCATCACCACGCAGAGGTGGGCAGTGAAAGCGGATTGAAGATAGCCTACCTGTCAGGTGCAAAAGCATTTTCTCCCCAAATAGATTTTAAACCCTCTCCCCTCCCCTCCCTCCGCATGACTCAGCGCCATCCCACCCAGAAGTCACCTAGAGGTGACCGGGAATGGAGGAGTGGGAGTCGGGCCAGCAGAGATCCAAGCTGGGTCTGCATGGCGGCTGATTCCGGTTCAGCGAAAACCGGAGTGATAAAAGAAACTCACACAGAGGATGTATCGCATCCAATGTGGCGGCGGCGCAAAGGGCAACAAAACGGGCTTTTCACAAAGCGCTTTTATGAATCACTTCAAGAGAAAAGTAGCTTTAATCTACAAAAGCTGCAACATGAGGGACTTTTTTCCGAAGAAGAAAAAAAAAACAATCTTCAGCTTCATTATTTTACTTAAACACTTAAACTTCGAAGCGTTTAAGCCTGTGCTTTGTTTTTGAAGTGGTTTTGGGAATCACCGTGCGCTCTCAGAGCGCTCCTCGTGTGTGTGTGTGTGTGTGTTTTGTAGTGAGGGTGCAGGAAGTCTATAAATAATTTTGCGGTGAACTAACGCAGCCCACCTATTACACCCCCCCCCCCCCCCCCCCATCCCCGACCTTAAATCTCTGCTTGTTCTGCGGTTGTGCTACCAGAATAAGAACATGCGCACCGAGTGCGTCACAAGTGCACTTTATTTCCAGTGGTTCCCAATCTGAGGGGCCGGATTCAAAAAGAGGGCAAAAATCTATGAAATCCGTCTCGTTGCAAAAAAACAAACATCCAATTACAATAAAAAAGGTTTTAAATGGGTCTTAATTAGATCATTTAATATTAATTATTTGTAGCGTGTTTTAAAATATTCGTTTTACTGCAGCAAATTAAAGTTAACATGCTAAGGTGTATTAAGACAAAAACCTTGAACATTTTTTGCTTACCCTAAATTAAAATCTTCCAAATTCATCAAATTCAGGAGTTTACTGACAGGTTTGTAGCTCTTCATGAGAAATAAGAATCCAATCAATCACCTTTTCCACAAAGTTTGTCCGTCTGAGGCCTTAAAGCAAAAGGTTCTCCAGTTCCTTCTTTGAAATAAAATTTGCTCAGCTGGTTTTGTTTCTGCTTATGAACTCAACATTTTCTCCACAGTGGTTTTCATTAGTTGTGCAACACTCATGATCTGTGTGGGGACACTTTTGACTAAAAACACACTTTTATGCTTTTAAACATTAGTTTTATGCTCATCCACAACAATAACCTTTAATTAGTTCAGTAAATATGAAACAAGACAGAGTTTTGGCACGATGTTTCTGTGTGGCTGCAATAAAGTCAGTGTAGAAATAAAGTACATATATGACCTCCACTGTTGTTTTAAAGCTTTCACGAGTCTGCAGGAGTTAACATCAGTCTGTGGTTGAACTTGCAGCAGCAGATGCAACGTGAGCAGACTGGTTTTAGAGCAGGAAGGATCCTGCTGTGTGTTTGTGGATCGACTGTTGTTGTTGATCCCAACACTGAGTAGCAGCTTCTTCTTCTGTGGTTTTGTTTCCCTTAATAAATCCTTCTCCCTGACAGACAGCACACAAGTCCCCACACCTTTAATCATGGCAGGTAATCCAGGTCAATTTTAACCTCCTTGACTTTAGAATAATTTCAACCCTATTTATTGGACTTTTGTTAAGCAAATAAATAAATAAATAAATAAATAAATAAATAAAACACCTGGTCTCTTTTTTAAAATGCCTTTTTTAGAAGTTTTTTAAAGTTATCTCGCCATCTAGTGGTCGCTCTACAATCTGCAGCCTCCTGCATTTAAGGCATCTTTTCTGCAGGTGCTTGCAGACGCAGCATGTGGCTTTCCTCCACATTTTTTGCCTTTAAAGTTTTTCTCCCAGCTCAGATTTATAACTAAGGAATGTAAAATCCACAAATATGTTCAGCAACACTGCAACGACCCATTTAATGACACAATTATGCTGCTTTGTGCGACTCAACAGGGGCTCTCCCCCACAAAGTGCAAACACTAACAAGAGTAAGTTTAATGTGCTTTTGAGTTTTGAATAAAATATGTGCAAAACAATTAACACCAGCAGGGTGGGGAAGAGCTCCAGAAATACCTTTTTGGAGAAGGATGAGAAGCAAGAAGTGGAGAGGAAGCAGGTGTGTCAGTGCAGCCATAATCCATAGGTGGAGACCGATTTAGTTCCAGTCAAGAGCAGCTCGAGGGTCCCCACATGGAAAAGCCTGACCTTGGATCTGAGTTCTATATCCATGAGCAGTAGAGTGGACAGGTCACATTCACGCACACACAGGAAGTTGTTTTATTGCACAACTGCGTTTGGAGTTGAGTCAGAAAATCCTCCAATCCTCAGAGATGATGTTTGAGTGGAAGCCTGGGTCACGGGGGTCACATTCAAGTCTTGATTGGTGCTCCGAATGTGCAGAAAATCCACCCTGATGATACACTCAGAGGAAGAGAAACTCTGTAATCACCTGGTAGATTTAGGGAAATTACAGGAATGCATGATGACAGTGGAGAGGTGAGGCTGAGCTGCATCTTGACTACTTAAACACATCGTATTGTTCCAGTAATGCAAGCTTCTCAAACATGATGCAGTTTAAACATTGTTATATTAAAATAAATTTTCTCAGACTAGAAAAGTAAACAGTTAAACCTTCAAAATGTGTATGTGTGTGTGTGTGTGTGTGTGTGTGTGTGTGTGTGTGTGTGTGTGTGTGAGAGAGAGAGAGAGAGAGAGAGAGAGAGAGAGAGAGAGAGAGAGAGAGAGAGAGAGAGAGAGTTTTCACATCCTGCAGGAAATTATTGTAAAACAGTCAAAAACCAAACTAAACCAACCTTCATTTGAACCCTTTTGGATTTGTTTTCTACTGTTTTCTTAAAGTTGTGTGTGTGTTTTCTAATTACTTTAGGGTGTTTACAATTCTGGTCAACAAGCTGATTACACACACACACACACACACACACACACACACACACACACACACACACACACACACACACACACACACACACACACGCCTACACGACAGTGTGAGTGAAAACTTTCTTCAGTAAATCTTTATAAAAGAAAAGTGATGCTTTTCATAAAAAGATCAAACACAGTCTTACCTAAAATATTAGCAAATATCTACAAAGACAAACCTAAATGGAATTAAATTAATCAATAATTGCATATTTAGCTGCTTACTGAAAAGAAATAAACACAAATCTGAACACAGACTGAAATCTAAATCCACTTTATTTTTACATCCACATTTACATCATCATCATCATCATCATCATCATCATCATCATCATCATCATCATCATCACAAGCACAACCCTCCTCACCCTAACTGCATCTTCTGCTACTTTATTTTCAAAAGCTAAAGCTATGATGAGACATTTGGTCCTTAAATATATATATGTATGTATTTATATATATATATATATATATATATATATATATATATATATATATATATATATATATATATATATATATAGTCTAGGCAACATGGTATCAGGTGTTAAGACAGAAATGTCTTGTTGCTACCTACAGAAAACATCAAAGATCGCTGAAAATGGTGCTGAAATCATGTCTGTCTTCAACAGAAGGAGGACGCCGCCGCCAAGTGAGCATGAGGCTGATGACAGCAGAGAGCAAAGTGTCGGGCAAACCGGGAGAACGGGAGAGAGTCTGCGAGCGCCAAAGGAACAGTTAGCGACCCGAGATGCAGAATTAGATGAAAGGCGGCGAGAAAGACAGAAGATGAAAGACAAAGAGGTCGACGGGTGAGGAAGCACACAACAGACCCACAGAGAGGCGCGTTTTCACAATACGGGAAGCTGGTGGAACCAAGTCCTGTGAGCCACGGTGCACAGCAGAGCAGCATTGTACGTCTCAGACACACACACACACACACACACACACACACACACACACACAGAGAGAGAGAGAGAGAGAGAGAGAGAGAGAGAGAGAGAGAGAGAGAGAGAGAGAGAGAGAGAGCATTTTAATTTACAGAAGTTGTCAGAGTGAATTGTTGTAATGTTCAATAACTAAACACCACACACCAGGAACAACAGAACTATTGGTGGACCACTTCTAATTATTCAAATTCATACGAGTATCAACTTTACAGTGAATTTTAAATGTTATAATAATTATTGTTATTCGGATGAGGAAAATATTACACTTTGGTGAAGAATGGGAGGAAAGAGGCCGTTGGAGCTAGAAACCAGGAAGTCTCTGCTCTATTGCCCACATTCTAACTTCACAGTGCACTTTCTACCCAACAGCAAAGAAGAATTCCATCTTATCACATTTATAATCGTTATAAAAGTGATTCACTGGTAATAAAAACGCACCACGGATATTGCTGTTGTAATTGACTTCGAACATTCCTTGTCAGTTATAAAGTGCTTGAACAGAACACCATTGGAGTTCCTTTCTTTGTCATTTGAATCCGTTTAATTTAGAAAAATCCTCTTCAGTTGTGAAAATGGCCGAGTTTCGGTTTGATAGCAGAGCTGTTGGAGTCATGACTCACTGAGCCACCTCTTCTTCCTGTCTGTCAGTTTTGTTTGATTGTCCCAGCACAACCCATTGGTTCAACATGAGGAAAAAAATGTATAAACAAGAAACACATTGACAAATGATTAGGACAAAATGAGCTTTTTAGAACAGGCGTTCCACAGGGTTCCTTTTTAGGACCTTTTTTGTTCATGTATTAAAAAAATTACCTAAAGATACTGAAAACCAATTTTTTGCAGATGAGGGTTTCATATATGTAAATGCCAAACAAACAAGTGGTGGGAGGGTTACAGGGGCTTCGGTTTTAAATCCTTGAATTGTACCTAAAGTGTCCTAGTGCTTTTTGCAATCAGACAAAGTCTGTAATGATTTCATTATTAGTATTATTATTATAAATTGGAGGGAAAGCCAAAACTTAGACGAGTTAATGTCTTTTTTCTCTCTCATTGGCCACTTTATTAGAAACACTCTGCTAGTTTTACCTTCAGAAGTGCTTTGATATAGAGTCTAGATTGTCATTTACCAAAGCCAAATGAACACACATAATATATAACATTCACATGGTTTACTCAGCTACTTTAACTCGGTATTCAGCAAGTTGTTGGTAGCATCCCTCAGAGCTTCTGGTCCTGTCGTCTTCTGCTGTTGGAGTCCATCAGCTTTGAGGTTTAACAAGTTGCGGTTCAGATCGGCAGACTATGGTTGGCATGAGTAGTTTTTTTATTCATTTTAGCCTTTTTGTCATCTAGGACCAGTCTAACCAGTGTCCTCTGACATCATTGAGAACTTTTTATACAATCAGCTGCTCCTCACTTGCTTTTTTTAGGACCATTCTCTGTAAACCAGGGTATTCAATTCCGGGCCTCACCAGTATCCAACGTGTTTTAGTGGTTTATGTGCTCCAAAATACTAGATTCTGTGGTTGAATCATCTGTGCCAGGGGCGGCGTTAGGCCCGGCTACTTGGGCTGAAGCCCCGGATGTTTTATGAAAATCGCGGAAGTAACATGCAGTACCAAAGTCCAACAGAGAGGGAGCAGCTGGCAGTAGTTTGTATACAGCCTGCCTGAGCCTCCACCACTGAAGAAGAAGCCCTTCAGCAGCCGGCTTCTTCTACAGTCTCTGCCTGAAACGCATGAGTGAAGATGGACATAAGGGCGTCTTTTAGACCAAAAGTACCGCAACAGAACCCCAGCTCTGATGAGACTGGTGTTGACTCAGGTTTGTGAGTCTTATTTGAAAATATTTGTTGTGCTGCTGGTTTGCCTAAAGTTAGCTTATCAGGTAAAGTTGTTGGAGAAAGAAAGGGAATATTTACTATCATCTCACACTAAACACTAACAGGAACAATACTCTGCCCTGAATATGCTTAATGTGTAGCTTCAGATTAAAAATTATGTGGTACAAGACGAATATATATGATGTTGACTAGTGCGTGTCACGTGTGTGTGTGTGTGTGCGCGCGCGCGTGTGTGTTAAGCCCCGGATCTTCTTCAGTCCTAAATCCGCCCCTGGTCTGTGCAGCATCTCATCAGGCTCTGCAGAAGCCTGTTAATCACCTGAAATCAGGTGTGTTGAAGCAGAGTTAACACCAAAACCTGCTGGATACCGGCCCTCCAGGACCAGAATTGAATAGCACTTCTGTAAACCATGGTTGTGGGTGAAAATCCCAATACATCATCAGTTTCTTAAATTCACAGACAAGCCTGTGTGCTAGCCACATCCTGTTCAAAGTATTCAAATCCTTTTTCTTTGTGGTTCTGATGACTGAGTTGGACTTCAGTCATCTTCAACATTTCTAGATTCCTAAATGTGTTGTGCTGCTTGCTCCCATGTGATTGGTTGATTGTTGGCTGACTGTCTGATTTTGACAGCTTTGTTCCAGAGACAGTGAGCAAAAGTAATTAGCAAGTTAGCCTTAAACAAGAAGGTCTATTTAAAAGGCAGTTGTAACTTTAACAAGATTTTTTACAATTTGATCGAATCCGTTTAATAAATAAGACAAAAGTAAATGTGAAACTCCATAATCAGAACTGTGGAAGTTTTCCCGATGAGAAATAAAACGAGAGGTCCACTTGCTTTCTGTTCAAGCACTTATGGGCCATTCCCATCAGTACCGGGTCGGCCCGGGCCGGGTAGCCCCAGCCTGGCCCGGTTGATTCCACACATCCTTGTCTTAAGCCCATGTGGGCTGATTCTACCCACCAATCAGAGGCTTGCTCTAATGGAAGGTGTGAATTTGCTGTCAGCAGTGGGTGTGTTGGCCCTGGTCGGCCTGAAGCAGTACCCCTCGGGAAGAGGGCCGAGAATGAGCCTTGGTTGGCCCGGGAAAATTCCAGGCCACCCAGATATGTAAACAACCTACGCTACCCGGCCCGGGCCGACCCGGTACAGGTGGGAATGGGGCTTTACAGACACCGACTGAGGCCTAGTCCACACGTAGCCGGGTTTTTTAACCCTTTGATGCATGAATTATGAAATCTTCAACCCGGATTTTTTTAACAATTTTTTTCATTCATCTTTAGGTGTGAATGAAACAAATTTCATATTTACATATTTTTTGTAAAATTTAATTTACAAATAATTTATTATACATCCACCTCAGTGGACAGCGTGCAATCTGAACATGAAATATGGTGGCTTGACTTACTGAAGTACAAATGGAGGGGTTCAAATGCAATAAAGTCTTCAACAGCTGTGCTTAATAGCAAAAATAAATAAATAACAATTTTCAGTACCTGTCCACTGTAGTGACCATTATGCATCAAAGGGTTAAAAACGAATACCCGCCCCTCCAAAAACTTGCATCCACACCACCTCGTTTAATAAAAAAACTCTGTCCACACGTACCTGGATAAATACGTTGTTAAGGACATGCCAGACCTGTAGGCGGCAGTACTTCCCCCGTTCTTAACCTCGTCCTTCGTCTGTGGTCTTCCGCAAGGAGCAGTAATTCCGCTTGCAAAAGCAAACAAGCAGAAAGCGCTTGGACAATTGATAAAGCAAGCGCAGCTCCGAGGGCATCCATGCTGTCGGCTAGTGTAAACACAGGTCGCACACGTGATGTCAGCATTTTTTGTCGCGGAAAGTGACGTTGCGGACCTTAAAACTCCGGTTTTGTCCGTCCACACGCAGACACCCAAAACGGAGAAAACGCAGATCTTCACTTTGGCCGGAGTTTTTAAAAAGATCCGTTTTCATGTGAAAAAACTCCGTTTTCGTGTGGATGACAGGCCAAAACGTAGAAAAATATCTACGTTTTGGCAGATCCCCGGCTACGTGTGGACAGGGCCTGAGACTCTACATCTGTACTCCAGGTCAGGTGTCTCCTTAGGGTTTCTTACAATATAGTGCAGCATTTTCCTACTTCAGCTCCCCTGCCTGCTCCAACAATCACAAACACAGATACACGCATGTATACATGTGACATGTTTATTAGGCTCTCTTCTTGGCAAAATTCCTCAAAGTCCTTCTCTTTGATCCACGGCTCAGCTGAGAGTCACATGATGAATATCACCTGATATTCAAAGTCAACCACATCCTAGAGTGAATTTAAAATGTACGTACGGTTTATGAGTGTCTGGTGGCGCCTCCGACACGAGTCTGCACAGCCATGGCTTGTTCAGCAACATGAAATTGTCCTCTCACATGTTCGCGGGAAGCTTGTGCCTCAGTCCCTCTGAGTCTTTTCTGGTCACCGTCAGCTGAGGGTCCTGTTTCCCTCCTTTAGGCGAGGCGATGTTGGCTGTGTGTGCTGTCTGATTGGGTGAAGAGGTGGATATCTGAGGAGACGTTTGCTTCACCGGATGAACAGAAAAGGTAACTTTTGTTTGGACGTTGACACCAACAACTGTTGGAGCAGGGGTGGAAGTTTGGGGTGGGGTAAGAGGGGAAGCTTGTTTTGGGGACTGGCTTGAGGTGGGACCTCTGGCGGAGGGGGAGACAGAAGGTTGGAGACAAGGTATTGGAATCTGGGACTTACTCAAGGAGGGGGCGGATGTGGTGGGGACGGGAGATGGGGAGGATGTAGGAGTGAGTGTCTGGGTTGGAGTAGAAGGCTGGGTGCGAGATGTCTGAGTAGGCGTCGGTACTGGTGAAGCAACTGGGGTCAGGGTGGGGCTTGGGCCAGATAGTGGAGAGGCAGAAGGAGGCGTGCTGGATGCCTTGGCTCTAGGGCTTGGAGGATGTGGTGGGGAAGAAGAGAGCAGAGAAGATGGGGGGGACGAAGATGTGAATGATGACCTGGGCCCGTAAGGCTGAGCTAGAGGAACTGGAGTGGAAACAGAAGAGGAAGGAGGTGTGGATGAGGGGGAGGGAGAGGAGGAGCGAGGAGATGGTGTAGGAATTGGCTTGGGACGGGGAGTGGACAATGGGCTTGTTCCGGCTGATGGTGGAGTGGAGCAGGGGGGAGGAGAAGAGGAACGAGAAGGAGGCGTTGGAATGGGCTTTGGGCGAGTTGTGTGGGAAAGTATAGGCGAAGGGGACAAAGATGTGGTTGAAGAAGAGAGTGAGGTCTGCTTTGGAGGAGAAGAGGATGATGCAGAAGGTGTAGAGGTTAAGTGTGCAGGTACAGAGGGTGCAGGTACAGAGGGTGCAGGTACAGAGGGAGAGTGAGCTGTAGCTTGTGTGTAGGCAGCTGTGTTAACAGGAATAGCGTGTGTTATGGGAGGCTGAATGGGAAAGGTGGCTTCTCCTTGTGCAGCAAATTGTAAATTTGTCAGCAACTGTAATGGGGGGTTAGAGGTCAGGATGCCGGCACTGCTGCCCCTGGCCAGCTGCCCAACAAAAAAAGGAGCCGCCAATAAATTCCCTCCAGAGGCCTTCCGATGGAGAGGAGGGTGGGATTGCACTGCAGCCCAGGAGCGGTGAGGGAGCGTGGGTTGTGAGGCTGACAGCAGCCTGGCCTCCTGGGTGAGTCGGCCCAGTGCTGGCAAACCCTGGCAGCTGTTTCCTCCGTGACGTAACAGCGCTTCTTTTGCACCCTGTTGGTACGCGCTGCCATCTGATGGGCCAGCAGAAGCCGCAGGTGGATTGGGGGTTGGTACCTTGTGAAGTGGTGAAGGTGGTCCTCCCGCTGCTGGGGTCCCAAGTGCTCCAGCAGTGATCGAGGGATGGTCCACCTGAAAGCGAGGACCATAGAGAAGAGTCCGTCCCTGTTGCATGGATGCCGGGACAGAAGAAGCTGGAGTGGGTGGTGTTTTAGCAACTGGAGGTGATGTCACTCCGCCTGGGGGGCCCATAGTTGAAGGGGAAACAGGAAATCCTCTCGGGGACAAACCACTCATTCCTCCCATCGCCATCATCCCAATGAGAGAGCTCACAGAGGGGCGGAGGGGTTGTAGCACAGGAGCACGTGGAGGCGAAAGAGGAAAGGAGGATGAGGGAGAAGGAGAAATCAGAGGGGAAGGCAGGAAGAAACCTGCTCCGAGAGCATGCTGCTGCTGCAGCTGGTGGAGCTGCTGCTGCTGCTGCTGCTGCTGCTGGTGCATAAGGGCAATGGCAACATTACTGGTGGCTGCTGCAGTCTGCAGGGGAGCGTGGACCAATGGTGCCCAGATGACGGGACATGGTCGAGGAGACACTGTGCCACTACCTCCGATCATGCTGCTTCTTCCTGCAGCAGCCGCTGCTATGGTGTCCTGCATGGCTGGCATGCTGTCGTGTTTAACAATCTGCTGCACCAGCATGCTGTCACAGGAACCCAAACCTCCTGCTGCAAGTCCACCTGCACCTCCACCGCGGCCTCCACCACGACCCATGCTGCCACCTAGAGACCCTCCCTGGGACGACTTGCGCAGCAGCATAGAGTTTTTTCTGCCTGGAGAAGGGTGGAAACCAAAACTGTGACAAAAGCAAATCAACAGACCAGGAGGGAACAACTGCAAAAACATGGAGCAGCAGAAACAAAGTAAAAACAGTAAATAGTAGCATATTTAAGACTGAGAGACAAGTAGAAATTCATAAGTTACCAATACGGTCCAAGCGGTCAACAGCAACAGTTTCAAAGGCACGCCTCATCATTGGGTGTTCTTCTAAAACCTCATTAAAGCTGTCCACGCTGAGAGAATACAAACGACAGTATGTGTCAGCACGGACACTGGCTGTCCTCCGTCCACGAGTCAACAGACAAATCTCTGATGAGAAGGGGAGAGATAATGGCAAAAACACAATAAGTACACAAGTGATCGCTCATTTTGCCCTTTGCCAAAAAGAAACTTTCATTTTCCTTCTGTTTTAAGTCTAAGAAAGGTTCTTACCCCCAAAGTAGGACCCATCGCTCAGTTTGGTCTCTTTATTGCCTCGGGTCAGCACACTGACCCGTCCATGCTGAATAAAATACATCTTTCGTCCAACCGTTCCCTCACGTATGATAAAATCAGATGGCTGAAACACCTCGAAGCGGAGCTTGGTCAGCACGGCCGTCACAAAGTTTGGATCGGCGTTAGCAAACAAGGGCATGTTAGCCACCAGGCTACGGCAGTTGAAACTGACTATCTCCTAAATAAAAACAAAACAGAACACAAAGTGAGCCGGGAATAAAAGCCAGGCATGTTTGCTGAAGGCAGGAAGAAAGTGGGCGTTTATGAATTTATTAACCTCCTTCAGCGGCTCACTAAGCTCTCCCAGAATGTTCTCCTCATCAAACATTTTCCCCTGGAAGCGATGCTCATAATACTCGTGGATCTTTTGTCGTAGGTCTGCAGGAAGCTTGTGGAAGGACATATACTGCTCCACCTGCTTGTACTGCAGGAACATAAGCAGAAAGACACATTGACTTTTAGCCCAGCATGACAACCTAGCTTGAACGCTAACTCGACCTGCAATAAATGAATGCCTGTAAAGTTCGAGCTAACTGTGGAAGAGGAGGGAGGAGAACAAAAATGGATTAATCTTTTTTGTATTGAAGCAAAGTGATTAGTGTAGCGTTTAAACTTATGCTACGTTGGAGTATTGTTTTTAGCTTGCTGTAGCATTAGCAGGTTTGTGCTAGCATCACAAATGCCAGTTTCCTGCTGGTTATTGATATTTCACCGTTTGAACTGTGAAGATCTTATAAAAAATCTAGACGAGTGGGGGAGTAGAGGGAGGTGGAGTGTACAGTCGGTAAAGACGGCTCTCCCCTGCCCTGCCTCCAACATGCCTCCATCTAAAAGGCTGGGCTATCCAGAGTTATCTCTGTAGTTATTGCTGGAAGACACACTGACCACTTTTCACACTCTACTACTTTCTTCTACAATCTGCTCTTTAACTGTATTATTTTCTGCTATTTCAGCTGTTAACATTATTTTTTTTCTAAGTGTTTTTCTCCCCAGAAGAAGCTACAATGATGTTCTGCTGAGCTGTGGTGGCCTCATGGAGGGGGCCATCGACTAGCACACTGCTACAAACCACAAAAACGTTATCCCTCTCCTGATAGTAACTTTTTTCTTTCCTTGACGTTGGATGTGCTACTACTAGTTTATCCGTTTAATTATAGATCCACTAGGATAAATGCAATAAAGTTTATCTCTCACCAAATAGAATATTTACTAAGAAATCACAATGTAACCATAGACACATTGCTTGGTGTGTGTGTGTGTGTGTGTGTGTGTGTATGCGTGCATGCGTGCGTGCGTGTGTGTGTGTGTGTGTGTGTCTGCTCTGTCTTCTCGATCCCCAGTGAGTCATGGTGGATGGCTGCTTATACTGAGCCAGGATCCTCTGAAGGTTTCTTCCTGTTAAAAGGGAGTTTTCCTCTCCACTCTCGCTTTATGCTTGCTTAGTATGAGGATTGCTGTAAAGTCACTGACACTAGTCAGTGACTTGATGCAATTTGCTGGGTTTCTTATATAGGAAACATTTTTTTCTGATTGGCTTAATGAACTGACCTGAATTGGAATGTTTATTATTTGAAGTGCCTTGAGACGACTCTTGTCGTGATTTGGCGCTATATAAATAAACTTGAATTGAATTGAATTAAAATGAGTAATTAACAGCTCCTGTGGAACCTGATGAAGGCTAAGGAGATAATTCAGCAATTAGAATTAGCAGAACATTACTTGTCCGTCAGCGGTCCAAGGCTATTTGTGTGTGCGTGTGCAGTATGATGCATGGCTCTCAGATCCTTCCAGAAGAGGACGTAGAGCTATAGCTGTTTAAATTTCAAAATCTCCTCCTCCTCTACTTGATGACATCGTGCTACGGTCTCCAGCTTTAGGATAACAGTACATAAATTGATGCGTATTATCGACCACCAGAATTTTATCTTACCTTTATCTTACTAACTGAGCAATAAGTTGTTTATGTTAGGTTGTTATTTTAGGACAGAGTGCCTAAATGAATTAATACAGTTTGAATATCTGTGAGCTGAACCTTGAATCGGTCTCTTTAAGAAGTTAACTCACACAACACCAAATGCAGTTTGGTTGATTCCATATTTTTTGTGTGAATGAAAATTTGACCTCAAATCTAAAATAGATAACAGATAAAAGACTGAACATCTCATCTGAAAGACAACCCATATGTAATCAAACATGCACGTAGCAGCAGATGGGTGTCAGCCATTGTTCACCTTCTCCTGATACTGTCGTCTCGAGGAGTCCAGTGACTGTATGAGAGCTGTGGCGTGGCCAATGAACATGGCGTAGCAGGTGGCGCCAACAATCATGCTGAGCATGGTGAGCCACACATCGGTCATCCCTTCAGGAGCCTGGGCACCGTACCCGATACACAACATGTGGCTCATGGCTTTGAACAGAGCATAGGAGTACTGCACGCCCCATGTGTCATTCTGTGAAGGGGGAGGACATAGACGATGAAAGCAGTATTTATTAAGGCACTGTGTCAGTGAAAAGTTCTTCACTTAGTCAGATGCACTTGAGAGTTTCAACGGAAAACACAGATCAGAACCACTAAAAGCAAAGCCTTTTAAGCACCAAAACCCACTCTGGTGACCTAAAGCAGCAAAACATTTGAACAAAACTCAAAAACCACACAGATTACAAATGAGCACAACAAAGAGCCTCCTGGATGTGTGTGTGTGTGTGTGCAACTTCTGTTTGGCATGTGCGTCCAATTATAAAGGGATGTTAATGGTCCAGGGGATGAAGGGACTCTCTCCGGGGAAAAACCCAACATCCGTCTGCTTAGCAACCGTTACTCGTGGCAACCAACGGCACATGAGTCAGCTGTTCATACAACTGTGTATCTACATCCACTGCTGGAAGCCGGCATGAACGAGCTTCCACTGTTTGTGTGTATTCACACCTTCACCCGATCAGTGTTGTCAGGGTTTTCCTTTTGTCTTTATAAGGCTACTGCAGCGTAACAGAGATAAGGAGGAAACCGTGTCATATCTGATAAACAGCAGCACACAGTCAACACCGGTTCGACTCATAATGCATCCTTCAGCTGAAATGAATATTGACCAAACACGCTCAGAGAGTGTTTTGTGTAATTTACTGTGAAAGTCCTGTTTTATTTATCCAGCAGTAAGATCAATCCAGGATTCAGATTCGAGGATAGAGACTCACCACCATCAGGTTCTTGGAAACCCAGCAGTCAGAAGGAAAGTCCTGCAGCATGGGGACCAGAAACTGGAGACAACCATCCCAGTGGCACAGCAGGAGCATCATACCGATCAGGTTTACGATCCTCACCATGGCACTGGCCAGGTCATAGGTCATGTGGAAGATCTAAGAGGAGAGGAAGATGAAGGAGTTCATTTATTGAATCCCCTCCTTTAAATCAACAACTCCAAAGGTGAACATCTTTAGCCAAAACTTGTCAAACATCGTCTCTCACCTCTTCCCACTGATGGATGTAGCGGATGAGTCTGGACAGGCGGAGCAGCCGAAGCAGGCTGAGGATTTTAGTGAAGCGGACTATTCGCAGCGCCCTGGCCGTCCTGTAGACCTCCGAGTCCAGACTGTCCACCATCAGGAAGATGTAGTCCACTGGGATGGATGACACAAAGTCCACGAGGAACCAGCTCTTCAAGTAGTTCTGGCGGATTTCTCTGAATTACACAAAGATGGAAGACCAGTGACACGCCTCATCTAGTGGTCTGGTTTTGTGTGAATAAGTCCAACATTTGTCTAGCATGAGACATCCCTCGTGAATATTCATCAGGAACAAACAGGAGCTTGAATAATGCTACGTCACGTCACCTTTCCTCTACTCACATATGGACTTGTTTGAACAGAAACAAAACAGATGGCCTGAAATAAAACTGGAAATTCATGACATCCTGCTTGTTGTGCTGATATCGGCGCCTGTTTGAGATATGTGTACGGCAGCTACACTGTCTATTTTCTATGAGGTTTATTTGCACTTCCATTCCATTAAATACATACTAACAGTTAACATGTGTGCAAATATCAATGAGCACATTTATTTTTCAGTGTTATGGAACTTTTTCCCTGCAAACAAAAGGTCCGTTTCCACTATTGGAAGTTTCAGGTAATTTTACCAAACCTCCATGGAATTTTTGCCTCTTTGCATATTCCAAGTTTTTAGGGGGACCAACCGAGTACCTGAACAGGGGAGTGTACTTGTAAATGTTGGTTGGGTACTGTAACCCCAGGTTCTGTTTTGTATGGGCACAGCCTTTTAAGGCTATCGTGCAGCCTAATAACTAATAACCATAGCTTAAAATGCCTCTTAACCCTCCCACTGTCCTAATGGATGTGATCCCGCAAGGAAAGTTGACCATTGAGCAGGGTTGATGGTTTATCCCTTGGGTCCATGTGGCAGGGGTGAGGAGTGAGCACCACCTCACCCCTGCCACATGGGCCTCAAGGGATAAACCATCAATCCTGCTCAATGGTCAACTTTCATCGCGGGGTCACCCATAAAGACAGTGGGAGGGTTAACAAAGTTTTAACAAAGTATAGCCATAAATATTTTGTGGAGATAAAAAGGTAAAAAAAAAGAAATGGTTCTTTTGCATTTGTCTAAAAATTTCCGCCAATAACACATTTCCGACCAAAAGCAGCTACTGGACCATCTGGTTGTCGATCCCACCGAACCTCCCCTCTTCCCTGGGTCTTCCACTCATTGCACACTCACATATTTAGCAACAGAACACCACTGGTGTGTGAGGTTCTCTGCTCAGTAACATCAGCGATGGAGAAATAGCTGGCTGCTACCACTTCAGCTTTAGGACAAACTACCAGAGTCCCAAAAAGAAAATCACCATTTGAAGTCATGGACAACAAAAGACGTTTGGACCTAGAACATGGAGACTGGTATTTAGCGCTGTTTTGTGCCCTCCGGTATCGCGGGTTTCTGGTCAGTTGTTCAGCCCTTCAACCATCACAGGCTCCACATGTAGAAACAACATGCACAATGACCCAATTTGGAGCAGAATGAGCACATTTCTGGAGGTCCTGAGGAAGTCAACACAGGTCACCCAGAAGACGTTGAAAAACCTATTGGGCCATTCCCATCTGTACCGGGTCGGCCCGGGCCGGGTAGCGTAGGTTGTTTACATATCTGGGAGGCTTGGTATTTTTCCGGGCCAACCAAGGCTCATTCTCAGCCCTCTTCTGGAGGGGGTCTGCTTCAGGCCGACCAGGGCCAACACACCCACTGCTGACAGCAAATTCACACCTTCCATTAGAGCAAGCCTCTGATTGGTGGGTAGAATCAGCCCACATGGGCTTAAGGCAAGGATGTGTGGAATCAACCGGGCCAGGCTGGGGCCGACTGAGGCTACCCGGCCCGGGCCGACCCGGTACAGATGGGAATGGCCCATAAGTCATCTGGCATCACAGTCACCTTCAGGAGACCAAAACTTGACATCCAAAAATGACCTGGAAAAGACGTTGTGCAGTGGACAACGATATTTTTCATCTAATTCTCTGCACCTGTGTTGGATGTGCCCATGATGTCCAAAAAAGTTACTCAACCTGAGGTACAAATGTTTAAATGGTAAATAACCCACACTTTCTGAGTCAGAGGACTCCAAAGCGCTTTACACCACCTGCTGGTGGTGGTCAGAGGGACCCGTGGCGCCAGTGCTCGGCAGCCTTGCCTCTGCCTGTCAGACCCCGGGGTAGCTGTGGCTACATCGTAGCTCATCCCCACCAGCGTGTGAATGTTTGTGTGAATGGGTGAATGACTGATTGTGTTGTAAAGCGCCTTGGGGGGTTCCAGGATGCCATATCAAATGCAGGCCATTTACCATTACAATGTATAATCACACACACTCACACTCTGGTGGTGATGTCCTGGAGCACACTGACAGAGGTGAGGCTTTCCAAGCACAGGCACCACCAGTCCCTCCAACCACTACCAGCAGCTAAGGTGGGTTAAGTGTCTTGCCCAAGGGCACAATAGCAGCAGTCTCTGGCAGAGCTGGGATCAAACCTGCAACCTTCCGATCACTGGACAACCGACTCTACCTCCTGAGCTACTATATTCTTGCACTGGGACTAATCTTTAGGAAGTTTAACATTAACTTTCATCTTTATGCGGACGACTGCCAGATTTATGTTCCATTGAAGACTTTTACCTCCATCCAGCCACTTCTTGATTGCCCGAGTGAGGTTAAAGACTGGCTGTCAGCAAATGTTCTGCTGCTGAATGAGTTTAAGAATGAGTTTATTGTTTTTACTCCTAATGGCTCGTCTTCCTCCGCTCCTGATTTTTCTGCTCTTCCTTTTAAAATTAGTCAAACAATTGTTAATCTTGGAATTAAAATGGATGTGGCTCTAAAAATCGTTAATCACATGGTTAAATCATGTTTTTATCAGTTGAGACGTCTTTCCAAACTAAAACCCATTCTGAATCGGTGCCACCTCGAGACAACCATTCACGCCTTCATCACCCCAAGGTTGGATTACTCCAATGCGGTTCTGTTTGGTATTTAAAAAGCCGCATCATCTCGCCTTCAGCTGATACAGAATGTGACGGCAAGATTTCTGACCAATACTGGCCATCGTCAGCACATCACTCCAATTTTAGAAAGACTTCACTGGCTTCCTGTGCACTACCGTATACGTTTTAAAATGTTATTGTTTGTTTTTAAGACGCTGAATGGCTTAGCACCACCTTACATATCCGAGTTACTCACTCATTATGTGCCGGGCAGGACTCTCCATTCAGATGACCTACACCTACTACAGATTCCCCGTCTACGCTGCAAAACCCATGGTAAACGAGCTTTTTCTGTCTGCGCTCCGAAACTCTGGAATGATCTCCCGCTGAATATCAGACTCTCCTCCTCCATTGGGGTTTTTAAGTCTCACTTAAAGACTTACTTTTATTCCCTTGCTTTTACTGCCTAGCTATTTTATCGATGGTTTATTTACACTGTTCTTTTACCGATTTTATGGACTTCTCTTGTTCGGTTCTTTGTGCTATGCTCTAGCTGTTTTATTTTTTTATATTATTCATTTAACCTTATATGTTTTTACCCCTGTACAGCACTTTGGTCAGCTCACATGCTGTTTTCAAATGTGCTTTATCAAATAAATGGAGTGGAATGGAAAATGCTGCCCCTCAGCGTTCAACATTATATTGACGTCAAAGTAGGGTCATGGTTTGATGTCCAAATAGCAGAGTTCGTTTTCGTGTCCTAAAGAAGTCCAGAACAAACGAGATCTGCGCGTCCATGCAATGTGTTTTGTTTAGCGGGATGCTAATGCTTCTACTGACCTGGGGTCAAGCAAGATCTCTGTGCTGTCCTCCTTTACGATGCCAGTCCTAAAGTTGAGAACCAGGTCAACCATGAAGAGGGTGTCAGAGACCACGTTGAAGATGATCCACGACGGAGTGTTCTCATCCCGAAAGAACGTGATGCCAACAGGCAGGACGATTAGGTTGCCCATCATCAACAGTAGCATCAACAAGTCCCAGTAGAATCTAAACGGATAAAAACACGACGTCACTCAACATGAAGCCATTGTTTTAAAAGTGAGACTTTTTTGTTTCATTCATAGAGATGCCTTAATCAGCAGTATGAGGTTGCTTGATATGGAACTACAATATTGAGTTATTTCACCTGGAAAGTGTCGTGATCATGCCCGGATCTCTGCGTTTTCCTGTCTCCCTGCAGCAGTAGTAGTCTAGCTGATTAATTCCACCTATGCTGCTCCCTATTTAAGCACCTGGCTCCTGCTGCTCAGTGCGAGATCGTCTGCTGCCCTGTCACAGTCCTTCGAGCGTCTCTGTCTGTCTGTCTGTCTGTCTGTCTGTCTGTCTGTCTGCCTGCCTGCCTGCCAGCCTGCCAGCCAGCCTGCCTGCCTGCCAGCCTGCCAGCCTGCCTGCCTGCCTGCCTGCCAGCCTGCCTGCCAGCCTGCCTGCCTGCCTGCCAGCCTGCCAGCCTGCCAGCCTGCCTGCCAGCCTGCCTGCCTGCCAGCCTGCCTGCCTGCCTGCCTGCCAGCCTGCCTGCCTGCCAGCCTGCCTGCCTGCCAGCCTGCCTGCCTGCCTGCCTGCCAGCCTGCCTGCCTGCCTGCCAGCCTGCCTGCCAGCCTGCCTGCCTGCCTGCCTGCCAGCCAGCCTGCCTGCCTAAGGAACCCGTCTTTTGCCTCAGTTCCAGCCTGAATCTGAGTACTCACCTTAACTGGCATCCCTCACCGCTGAGCACCGCTGCTGTTTTCAGAAGGTCAGTCACTCTTCAGATTAAGACTCGTTGACCGTTTTCTGTCTCTCAGGCCCCGCCACGAGGAACCGAGTCCAGCTGGTCCCGATCGCTTTAACAAGTCCTCAAATAAACTCTTTAAAACTTTCTCTGTTTGGCTGTTGTTGGATCCGGCAGATCGTCACTAGGTCTGACCGTGACAGAAAGTGACAAAATGACAACTTTTCTGCTGAATTTAAAATTGAGTCCATTTGTTATACGAATGTATTCATTAATTTATTAGGAAACAAAGCAAGAAGAATTAAATCCTAATTAAAACTGAATACTTTACTTTTTATGTGCTGACTTCTTTGCACTGACGTTCAACCAGCTGCCACACCAACAAGCTGTGTCCAACACACTGAATATATTCTCCTCCTCATATAGAATAATGCAAATTTTAGATGTCACAACTTGCAGCCTATGTGAGCGGTGCAATAGAATCAAATTTCTGGCAGCCACATCACAAAGACATTATCACATTTTATTCCAGTTTTTTCCACCTGTGTGAAGCTCATTTCCATCCTCAGCTCTAGTGAGAATACTGTGCATTAAAGTGTAGTCACAGTGGTGTTTCATATGCACGACATCTACAATGTGTAGCTTTGTCACATTTGAATTTTCTAGAAACCTTCTGGGTGCATCTAGAGTTATGGTTTTATAATCTAAACAAGAGATTTAGATAATTTTAGAAACACTCGCTTTAGTTTTGGCAGTAGCCTCCTAATTCAAGCTAACACATTATTATTTTTAGCCTTGAGAGACAGAAGAGAATGCAGACATCAGCTGAACAACATTTCTGGTTATTTTCAGTTAAATGATAATTAGCTTTATGGGGCTATTAAAGAAAAACATCCCTTTTCAGAACAGAGGTGTGTGTGTGTGTGTGTGTGTGTGTGTGTGTGTGTGTGTGTGTGTGTGTGTGTGTGTGTGTGTGTGTGTGTGTGTGTGTGTGTGTGTGTGTGTGTGTGTGTGTGTGTGTGTGTGTGTGTGTGTGTGTGTGTGTGTGTGTGTGTTTGTGTGTGTGTGTGTATAATGGAAAAATACTAACTGAATGCAGTTGGGATTCATGTGGTTTCCTCAAGGTGCTTACACGTCATAAAATGCATATTTTATTCTCAACCCAATAAACCGACTTGGGAAAAGAGGGACAGACAGAGAGGAGCAGACAGACGAAGGCAAATCATCAATAACCTTGAGATTTCTCATCAGTCTGTATTTCATGCTGGAGAACGTTACTCAGTGGTGCATTTAAGCTTTCTCATATAAACACAGGAAGTAAATCCCGTCGTTCGGATGTCAGAAGTGATTAAAGTATGACAGAAGAGCCGACGCAATCATCTGGAGATGGTTCTTGTCATCCCCTGGTCTCCTTTTCCTCTGATTCCTCCATCCATCACCTCGGCTCTCTCATTCGCACACGCAGTGTCGTTTTCATGGTGAAAATGACACTCACATTCGGTGGTCAATCGCTATTGAGCGGTAATTCAGTAACGTAACCTCATGGTGGGATGCTACTCACGGACTGATGAAGATTAAAGCGTGCGTGAGTCATCACACTGAGAAACACACACACTCCATTCAGACTTTGTCAAATTGACAGATGTAGCGCCTCAGTGCCAGTGGCAGTAAATACAGAGATTATTTACGGCAGCACACACAAACAATGCTTCTTGTAACAGAGATGGTGATTTAATCCAGGACCCGGAGAACACACCCCATTAGCTCTGATTACAGCAAATCAAATCTCAAATTTTCATCACACTCAGATAGTAAATTTGTGTGATGGAGATTCAGATCTATAGACTTTGAAGCTATCGTGAATGTTTTCAGGATTAAAATGTTGCAAAGCAAAGACGAGCCAGTTGGTTAACCTCCCACTGTCTTCATGGGTGACCCCGCGAAGAAAGATGACCATTGAGCAAGATTGATGGTTTATCCCAAGAGGTCCACGTGGCAGGAGTGAGCACCACCTCACCCCTGCCACGTGGACCTCTAGGGATAAACCATCAACCTGCTCAATGGTCATCTTTCTTCGCGGGGTCACCCATGAAGACAGTGGGAGGACCAGACAAATATGTATTGTGAAATTATTTGTTGCATCTCCGCATCAGTGGTGGGTAATAAGTGCATTCAGTGACGGAGCTACACCGTTAGATTTATTTGTGTTCGACTAAGATTTTGCAGAAAAATCAGAACAAGTGTGTAAAATTAAAAGTCCTCTTCCATTAAAGATCAAGCTCACTCGTTTTTTTCAACACATCTGCAGTCGTCGCTAAAACAAACGAATGCCCTGTGAGTCGATGTCTGTGGGAGGTGCCCGGACGCGTTCATTGAATGGTCGTTCGCGAACTTGTTCATTTTTTTGTGAACGTGAACTCAACTCATTCGTAATTTGCCTGACGAACGTTAAAGTGTGTTTGTTTGTTCTGGCGTGCTTTCCCATCACTGCACAACTCTACCACTGACTCGGTTTGTTTTGCAAAATTGATGTTTCATAACACAAGCCTGGAGGAGTTCTGCCGTACGGTGGAGCTGCTAATGCTAACTGTTAGCTTCTACTAGCTGAGATGTTCTCTGTTCGCCAATGGATGCTGAACCAACAAAGCCTTCCCAGTCGTGAGACAAGATGGGTGAGTCCATGAATGTTCATTTTCAATGACTCGCTGGCTTCTCTAATCTGAGCATTCCCCCCATTTATTTTCTATCGCCGACTAACGCAGGAAGTAGGGGTAGAACACTATTTTCATGTTTCGCCTGTTTAACCCTAACGCCTCCCGATTGGGGGCCTCTACAGTTTCACGTCCCAAACGTCTACTGTCCACATTCTCTAAACATAACTAACCACAACCAAACAGCCCAGAAGGGAAACACGGCCATTTTAAATGGTAATAAATTAATTTCTAAATGCTCTAAAACTTTATTGTGAACTTTTTGTTTTATACCTGATCAGTTTATTGACATTTTTATAAACTTTATAAGCTACACATCAGCATCGGTATCGGCAACAGAAAAACCCCACATCAGTGGATCTCTAATGTCAATAATTACACACACAAAAGTGTGCTTTTATTTCTGTTAAACTGTAATAAAAATAATTATAATCAAACTTTTAAATAAAAGACCCTCCAGACCAGTAGTTTTGAACAGAATATTTAAACCACATTTTTCTGAATATCTGTGAAACTGACAGTTATACCCATCTCTTGCTAATATTAATTAATTGTTGTGGCCATCTTGAATCATCATAACAACTCCAGTGACTATTTCCTGAGAGTTTTATTATTGAGTTATCAATTTTGCTCACCCTGCATGTCTGCAAGTGTTTTATCTTTTTGAAACAGACGTAGCGCATCTCGCTTTCTCTTGTCGACTATTATTTGTTTCATTTGAAATGACAGCATAGTTTATTTTCTACCTTAACGCTCTCTCTTCCTCTCAAATCCTTGATAGTAAAGTTATTCTAGCTCCGGTGTAACTTTGTTGTAATTCATGGTGCCAAAATGACAACATCCTCCCATCATTTTGATGGTACATTTCTTTAGTAGTCTATAGCAGCACCACATGTCGGTACATCAGGGTGTAGGTGGAGGACAAGGACGTATCTGATCAAAGATTAGGAACAAGCATCAATCAAGGAGGAGTGGGCTTTGGCATAACGGGAGCAAAAACAAAAAAACATCCAGTTTATTGAAAAAAACAATCATTTTCCAGGAAGCCTATCACCACCTATCTGTCCTATCAAAGGTGTTCTGGGAGAGGACAATGGAAGCTGTAATTTTCTGCGTTAACAACAAATCTATCCTCACTTAGACAACTACTAAGTTTGGGACACGTTTGGGAATAGCTCTGTTGGGTCAACCACTGCCAGCTAATTCCTGGCTGCAACAGTTTGCTTGGTTGATCGGATCAGATCAGAGGAGGTAGCTCTTCCAATCGGATCTGATCACAGAAAGCTGCAGAAACGTCTCCACTACAAAGCCAAACATTGTGGAACACCCGCAAGCAGGTTCTCCCAGAGGTCTCTGGGAGACGTAAAGGCGAGAGAAAAATGAAAATGGCAGAGCAGGCGGAGAGAGGGAGATTTCAGAGGGTTGGTGTTTCTATCCATGTGCACGGTCGGCAGCGCGGTGGTTAGGAAAAGGTGGAGGGCTGTAGAATAACCAAGGATAAAAGGGACATGGAGAAGGACACCCTAATATCTCAAGAAAATTCTTGTTACAGAATTATATGTTATTTATCGTGATATTTATCAAATACGGTTATATACTGAGCAAAATATATATTTTATTATAAATGAGAATTAAAATATTAAACACTCAAAAGTATCTAAAATTGGTACCATGAAGTACCGGTATCGATTCCTAGGTACCGGGAATTAGTACCGAATCGATTCAAATGTCAAAGGTACCCCATACTCCCGGAGTATCCCCAAAGGGCCTCCTGAGGGATGCAGTCAAACGCCTTCTCCAAAAAACTCTCCACAAAACAGATTGGTTGGGTGAACTCCCACGCACCCTCCAGGACCCCCCTAGCTGGTCAAGTGTTCCACAGCCAGGATGAAAACTACACTGCTCCTTCTCAATCTGAGGTTCGACAATCCATCAGCCCCATCTTTATCCCTCCTTTATGTAATTTTATCCATATGAACTTTATGACAGCAGGAGGGACAACTATCACCCTCAGCAGAACTTCCCCTGAACTCTGCACAACACCTCTCTATAAATATTAGCAGTGCTCTGCTGCCACCTAGTGTTCAGTTTAGTATTTACATTTACAATGTTTCATGTCCATCTACGTTTCATCAATAACACATATACTAATATTTACCCATCCCAACAAATTCCACAAGGGTTACGTTTATAATGAGATTAAAGTAATCAGACAGACCTTTTAGTTTCAGGTTACAGAAATAAACCCTATAAAGTGTGGGCATGTCATCTGTGCCTCACTAACACTATTTTTGATTAAATACAATTGCTTGGGCGCAAAATGTCTTGAATTATTAAAATGCAATTAATTGAGATTAATTAATTACAAAGCCTCTAGTTAGATTAATTTTTAATTGAGTCCCTCTCCTAATGTATACTTTTTCCTTTTAAATCATGTTTCTGTTAAAAAGTTCTTACCTCGGTGGGTCGTATAAATTACGATAGCTTAATTCATCTTTATAGTCATTTTTGTTTATGATGATATACAAAAGTACATATCCTAATTATTATAATAATAAATCATAATTCACTAAACCAATTACTTCTCCATCCAAGGAGTCAAACTTGCTTTTTTTTAACCAGGGCTGTTGCAGCTGTTAATCTTCCCTGAACCGCTTCCTGCTGTAAGGTTTCTGTTTGCATGATGCACAAGTCTGAATAAAAATCTGTCCGTCCTTGATTTTCACATTTTTTCTTTGAGAAAATGACGAATCAGAACATAAAACAAGTTGTCAGCTTGAGACTAAACATCTATTTGTCACGACTGGCTCAACACTAGAAAATATTCTGTTTCTGATCTTCAAACTGATGCAGCGTTGTGGATCTTGTGTGTTTGAGTCCACCTGAGTGTGTAATTGAACACACACACACACACACACACACACACACACACACACACACACACACACACACACACACACACACACACACACACACACACACACACACACGGGAATTGCAAATGCAATCAAAGCTCTTTCGGGCGGCCTCATCAGTATTCCATTTCTGAACACGAACAGGTGCTGGACGATAACTGACCTGCATCTACCTGCTCAGCTGTTGTCAAACCAAACTCTAATTTGACTGTAATGGAGGCCAAGTGTCTCCTCAGTGGGCTGTGATTGGTTCCCTGTTCACAGCTGGCCAGATGTCAGTACCTTACAAGCTTCACCAGCCATCATCCTGGCGGATGAGCAGATGGTCGAGTGCAACAACGACTGGCTGATTCCCGCCATCGTGTAAGGTCTGCTTATGAATCCAAAGACATTTCCACCACCTTTGAATAATTATTTCTGTTTATGTTACTGTGTGCAGCAGCATCATGTCTCTTTATGATGCAGTGCAGAGAGAGGAGCTTATCAGCAGACTCAGTAATGACACCCTCACACACACACACACACACACACACACACACACACACACACACACACACTCACTCGCACACACACAATCCCTAACAAGCACCTGTGCGCAGCAGCCATGAAGGAAGAAAAAATACACATAAAGACTGTTTTAGAGGTAATCAGTCTTCTCTGACCTCACACATTTCTTCATCAGGTGTCGCTTCAGATTACAGATTATGAAATATTAGATTCCTGAATAATGCACAGTGTGTGCTCAGCTTGCATAATTAAAAACATCCCAGATCATTTAGGAAGCCATTATTCTGCAGAAGATTAATCAAGACTAATAAAATATTTCGGGGTCTTATCAGGAGAAAAAGAAGTAGGTTTGGCCACGCCCCTTCGTCCCTCACTGCCCTCACTGATTATGTTTATGTTTATTTTAGCAGACGCTTTTATCCAAAGCAACTTAAAGTTTATAACCTATAGGGCATGTTGTGATCTGTGGGGGAAACCGGAGTACCCGGAGGAAACCCACGCATGCATGGGGAGAACACGCAACTCCACGCAGAGAGGCTGCAGCCGAGCCTCGAACCCGCAACCTTCGTGCTGCGAGGCAACAGTGCTAACCACCGCACCACCATGCAGCCCATGGTTGTTTTACTCTTTTAGCAGAGCGGCAGAATGATCGGTGCATTGGCAGCTGTGGTGGAATTAAACATCGTATGTGTGCTTGACGACTAGATGAAGTGGGGCAGGAGCCTTGGGGATCAAACGATCGTCGCTGCCGTCTGTCTGGAGATTCAGGAGGCCGACATTCCCTCCGCACGTGTTCAGAGTGGGTACTGGGAAGGCCTCGGAATCATCCCGTCTGTGGACCCAAAACTAACCAGCCAGGTGTTCGTGACACTCATCAAATCAAAATGAATAAAGGTGCAACAGTAGAGGAGACGTTTCTTTTCTGTGTTCACTTCATTTTTATGAGAAAATCTGAAAATGTTTATGTTTCCCTCACACAACACCAAACATCTGAGCAGCAGACAATAAACGCTCATCCTATTTTCTCTATTTTGATGTGTTGGATTCATTAAAATGATTTCTAACATTTTACCTGACTGACACGGGTGACGTTTCGCATCCTCTTGGCTAAGTTTGTTATTCTAATTTACATTTTCTCATTTTATTCCAACCAGACTTGCTCTCCATCTTTGAAACTGTTTTTTATTCATTTCTGTGAATAAAAACATGCAATTATCCCCATTTTCTCTCACATCGCCAAGATAGTTTTTATTCATTCATCTCTGTGTGCATGCCATCCTCTAACAAACACTTCTCAGGGCCTATAGTCTCATGCCTGCTTTTCCCTTCTCCCAGATCTGTTTCCTACATCAAGCACAGGAGAGGCTGTTGATGAATGCATCGTGCTTTCTCTTCTCTTCTCTTACCCCCTTTTTAAAGTGTCTGTCGTTTTGCTTCATGCGAGCCGTTTAAAGAAAAGAAAATTCTAGTTTTGATCCATTTTTCTTCCTAAGTAAATAAATATTCTGTTGGAAATGCAACAGGTGGGATTCATTTCACAAACCGAGCTTGGAGAGTAGCTGGCTGCGTGCCGAGGAGTGTGTGTGTGTTTGTGTGGCTTCAAACCTGAAGTCACTGTAAGGATGTATGATCCACGCCCCTGCTGACTTCAGCCTCTCCTGCTCCAAGGCCACAGCTTTGTGAGATCCAAACATGCGCAAGCTGAACTTGTTGACCCCTGGCAGCAGCATGGCTCCAAACTGTCTCTGGATGAAGGTGCTCTGGTTGGACTGGCTGTAGTCCTCCCCGTCCAGACTCATCCCAAACCCGCCTAGTCCAGACGAACCCATCAGCTCCGGGGTCCCCGCGGCATAGGTGTTGCAGGCGGTGGTGGTCGTCTCTGCGCCTGTGGCCACCACCATGACTCCCGTCCCGGTGGAGGAGGTGGAGGCCAGGGCGGCACGGGACGTGGCAAAGCCCACTGAGCGTGGAGGAGGATGGGCTGAGCCGGAGGACGAGGTTGGAGGTGGCAGAGGCAGAGGGAACGGTGTGGTTGGGGTGCCTGCAGGGCGGAAGGGAATGCCATCCCTGGGGGAAGAGCTCATGATGGAGGGACGGCGGCCCCGTCCACCTGATGAGGAGCTGTCTGCCCCAAAGGAGCCCTTTTCTCCTTCCAGCGAGGCTTGGGACAGTCTGTAACCTGGAGACGGAAGGCTGCCTTTGCTACGTCTCTTTAAGTCCCCATCACTCCGTCTGGGCAGACTGTCTCCTCCAGACCCCCCAGCACTACCAGGGGTACTCCCGGCTCCATCCATCCCAGCCCAGGGAGGAGAAGTGTCATGGGTCTAGAACCTGTAGGCTGTCCCTCACCCCTTCAGGAGAGCTGCTGTTTAATATTCTCACCTGTCCAGATTATCAGTGAAGATGTCAGACTTGGTATTAGCAGAAGCAACAGAGACTGAGAGTCTGAACTGATTCTCATGGAGCTGACAGCTCACACCCCCACCATCTCCCCAGTAACGTTTCCATCCTTACCTCGGTGCCCTTGGAAATGGCCCCATGCAGATGATTCCGTACTTCCTCCCCTCGCTGTCACAGAAGCAGCCTCATTCTTCTGCTTTCTTTCAAAGAGTCAGGTTTGTCCTCACAGATGTTCCTGCATCCTTCCTCCTTCCTCGTCCTTGAAACGTTGCTCTCCGCCCGAGGCCCTCCCTCTCCTCGCCACAGCCGCCCTCAACGCTCCGACTCCGGTCATGCCGGCACCGGCTCCCCGGTATAAACGGCGCTCGACGAAAAGCCTTTTACATCCACACTTCTCATTCGGGGTGTCAGTGTCTTTACATAAGGGGTCGTTTGAGGCGGGAAGGGGAGCGCTTAACCCAGAATAAATGACAAGGACGCTTCATTCTTTTTTAACAACGTGGCGCTTACAGGCGCACGCTCCGAGACGCACGACTCCATTCTGACACGCACGGAGAAAAGCACACTGTCTGAGGCACGTTTGGGTCTAAACTGCCCCTCTAATGTCAGCCCATGCTTCCACGGAAGCCGCGACGCGCGGTCATGCTCAGCATCGGAGCGGAAAAGCCACATCCATCATGACGGAAGGCGCGCGGAGACGCTGTCCTCCGGTGACGGAGGCGCTCGGCTCGGCTCACTAAAAGCAGCGCTGGTCCACCGAACTCAACTTGGTTCTGGTGTTCTGCTCATCAAAACATCAGAACCAGCTGTCTGGATCCATCCTCACTTCTGCCGACTTTCAGTGGCATTGTGTTCAGATGACAGGCGGCGTCCTCTCTCCCCTCCGACGACAGACTCACAGCTGCTTCTTGAGGAAAGGGGGGAAAAACAACCGTAACACAACTTGTTGATCTACTCGAGTCCTTCGCAGGAGTGTTCCGAGTCCACTTGTGCGCTCTTTACATAACTCAGAGCCAAAGGCGGAGCAGACATAGGCGCGCTAAAAGGAGTCCCAAATAAATAAATAAAGGTGCATATAAAAGGTCTGGGTGTAATCGGCCTGTTACCATGGCATCCGCATCCTCATCATCCACCCCCCTCCCCATCAAGGCCGCGTGCCCGGCCGGCGCGAGACATCTCTCACAGGTACGAATTACGCGTCATCCCTCTTCACCAATGCAACGAAGGAAAGCGGAGTGATGAAACTTTAGTTCTGGAAAAAAAGAAGGGAGAGGGACGACGGTGAGGCGTAAAGAGACAGAATATATATATATATATATATATATATATATATATATATATATATATATATATATATATATATATATATATATATATATATGTATATGACCTGATCTGAATCTGATGATGATGGTGACACATTCAGGAGAAATAATAAAATGTCTTTGCTAAACACACATTTTTCTTCAGAATACAAAACTTCATACCAAAGTGAAGTTAAATTAAAATTAGATAAATAAAGTATTTGTTCCATTTGGCTTCTGTAGCTAAAAACAAACAAAAAAAAACAGAAAATGAATGTTTTTCTTGCATAAATAGTTTTATTTATATGAACTGACGTTGTTTAGATTTAGATAGATTCAGATCTCTTGATGCCATTTTTATGTCTTCTTTTTTCTTGACCTTATTTCCATGGAGGTTCAACCTTTTGGCTGCAGGTCATCACAGACTTGCAGGAGGCATGTTAAAGATGGCTGCATTCCACTTAGAGCACTACTTGTTAGGTTAGAACAGGCAGAAGCAGAATGCAGCCATCGCTAACAAACGTGATTTAACTGCAAGGAAAGATTTTTGCTGTGAATGAATCCTGTTCATCAGGAAACCTCTGGTACCTGAGCCCAACTGGTTGCTAGTTCTGTGCTGGTTGTTCAGTTGGACTTTGTCTCTTTTCAGAGACAAACCTGATGTGTTCTTCATGCTGCACCACACCTACAGTCCTTCATGTTATTTGTTTTTTTACTCCGTTTCAAAGAGCTTGAGCAGCTTTTCATGAACCTCCAGCCTGTAGCGACATGAATGGCCTCATTTGTGACCCAAAGGTCCCACTTCCTCAGCTGGGTCAAGCTGTACAGGCTGTACTTCTATTTACACATTATCCATCACAGGAGACACAAAGTCTGCTGTAAACCATCTTTAATCGGACTGCTGTTCCATCCCAAGATGAAGGACGCTTCAAGATTTAAAAGAATCATTTTAATAAACTCTTTTCACTGTCTTTTACAATGTTCATAAATAATCATCATGGTTCATTATAAATACCGTAAATCCTCTAATATTAGCCTGTATTTAATTAACTGCTGGGTATCATATTTTGGCCGGTGTCGGAGTCGGCGGAGGTGAATAATGGCCGGTTTTTTATTGTGGCCGGGTGGAATGTGGTAACAAGCAAGTACGGGGGGCGGTTGTGTCATCCGTCTCACTTTTGATTTGCCAGAGATAGACCACGAGGGTAACTTTAACCGTGCGGAGACGAAGAGGAGGCGAAAATTTGATATCAAGTTCAAAGAGAACGTGCTGATTATGCTGCAGAACACTCTGGGCAGCAGTAGGGGTTGTATGAACTAGTCACTAGTCGACTTCACTGCTCTATAGTGACTTTTTAAGCCTGTCATCGACTAGTCGCTGTTACATGATAATGACCGGCAAGATGCAGTCCACGGAAAAGACAGCAGCCTGCTGTCAGCAGGTGACAGGTGATGCGCCCCGATCCACAGCAGCGAAACGCATCAGGCACAAATAAAAGAATAAAAAAACTAAACAAAAAAAAACATAAAAAGAAATGAGCCGACATGAACGATCGCGTGTTAAATTAGTTTTTGAGGTGACGACACCTGATTTTAAATGTTACTGTGGCCGTGCTCAGGACGCAGATGTCTGGAGCGCGTCAACAATCAGAGCTTTGCATGCGCAAGCTGGTTAAGGTTAGGAAGGGGGTGAGGGGAAGGTTAAATTGCAAGAGGGTAAAGGTCACAATTTGGTTAAATGTCAGTTTTACGGCGGGTGTCAGTACCGACGCTCTGGCACAGCGCGTTGCCTCCCGGAACACCGGCAAACAGCGAGCACTCCGCTGTTTTTGCGGTCGGTAGATCTTTTAGAACTGCAGTTCAAAGGTAACTCATAAGGTGAATATATATGAACCCAGGTAGCAGTTTTTCTTTAGGATTGAGAGGAGATGCAGGAAGATAATAAACAGACAGGACAGAAAAATAGTCAAATAAAAACAAGTTAGTTTTTGTACCTGCTGGTTGCAACAAACAGACACCATTGAAGGTCATCAGAAGTGAGGAACAGAAAATGAAATAATTATTTTAATGTTTAGAGCAGCAGGAACTCTGAGAGGCTGCAGGCGCATCAGTGAGTTTGCAGCCGCTGCGCAGGGGGAGGGGGGAGAGGACTGAAGCAGAAACTACCGTTGTTAAAAGAAATGTGTTTAACTTTGAAAATGTGGGCGCAATTTTAATTGTCAAAAACTCAAGCGAACCATTAGTTAATTTTGCTCAAATAGAAATTGAGGCCTGCTTCTAATACTGGTCCTCTTTCCAATAAAGGCCTGGAGCTTGAAGAGCTTGAGTAAAATACAGGCCCGGGCCTGTATTAGAGGATTTACGGTATTTAATTACTGAAATGAATTATTATTATTTGGTTAATAAAAATTATTATTTATGATAATCAGTAATCTTTAACAGTGACAGAAGGTCATGTGCACTTATACACACCATGCAGGACACAGAGAATCAGGTTAAAGGTAACTGCATTCACACGTCTTTGTTCCATAACAACAAAGCTTTCTATTTCTGAGAGGGCGTGTTCTGAGGTATGTTAAAACCAAAACTCCTCAGTTCAAGTTCAGTTCTTGAGCTCACCAAAATCTCTCCGTGGCGACGAGAGTTCGAGTATCGGGTCGGCCGCTCGAAACCTCTACTAAAAGCTTTTCTGTCACGCTGATAGAATTGCTTCAAAAACAAATGCCATCTGCAACAAGCTGACGCAAACTCCTTCAGAGTTATTGATTTTTGAGACGCAACCAGTTTCATCAGTCGTTGTGACCCGGAGACATCTCAGGACCGATTTGGTCGCACTACGGTTCTTCTACCCACCTCGTGCTTGGAGGTCATCATCCCACCTGACGTCTCGAATCCAAGAAGGGGGTCTCCTAACTGGGTGAGGTAGACACTTCCGACAGATTGCGTCCGTATGCCTGTTTCTTTAAGAATTAACTTAGCTTAGCTGCAGCCCAACTCTTCCACTCAGAACGTGTTTTCTCTCTCTGATAGAAACCTTCTGAGACTACATTCACAAATCCAAACACCCACATTTCATATCTAGTTTTCATCCAGACACAGGTTGCTTTAATATCAAAGCTTTTATTAATTGTCATTTATGAATTGTCTTTTAAATTGTCATCTTTAAATTGTTAGTAATACATTCTTAACTTTTTAAACCTGACTCTTCTTTGGAATAAAACACAGAGTGGTGAATATTTGGTCACTGAACGAGCAAAAATCTCTTTAAATCTTCTGAATTAATAAACTTTTGCTATATATTTAAATCTCTTAAATAAAACATTAATCTTTGGATTAAAAGCAGACCAAGCCAGTTGGTGTATGAACTTCTATAGTTTATATAAATATCCGTGGATATATTTATATTTGATATAAGTTTCATTTGCCAAGTCGTTTGATCTTTCTCAGAATCTAACAAAGCTGAATAGCACCGCATTAAATTCTAGTTATGTAGATTAACTACGCTACAAGCCTGATTTAAAATCTCCACCGAGGACAAACCTCAACTTTTTGCTACTGCGCTCAGTCTTGTTTTGATTTTTGATCTCCAAGATGAAACTGTCCTTCACGACCTCTCCTGGTGTGCAGACTGATTGTTCCTAACTCAGTGAGACTCACACTAAGCTGTTTCTGTTTCACTTGATGACTGTTTTTCTGATTTTGTGCAGAATGGTATGAAATCTGTTGCTGTAGCTGTAATTGACACAGCCTTTGTGCTCACAAAATTACGTATTTATTTAGATTTTCCTTTAGTTATAACTCACTTTGCGTTTTGTACACTTGTTGTGCTGTGAAAAACAACCTATACTCTCCTACAGAGCTGTGGTAAAAATGAAGCTACAGAAACATTTTTCATTCTTGGTACCAGAGATGAAAAGAAAAGTTAGTGGAGAATAAAATCTGACAACAAAAGAAGCACAGCAGGTTTGTGTTTTATTTAAAGGAGTCATTGCTTTTGGTAAACAGGAATCCAACGATAAGACCGACTCCAGCAGCGCGTTTCTTTCTAGTCACTGGAATTCAAACAGCAAATGCTGCTGCTTTAACTCTTCTGTCTAATGACAAGTTCATCTTTTGAGTCACTTCTTATGGTTTCATCATGTTGCTATTCATCAGGCTTGATTCCAGCTCTTATGGAGCGTTCACTGCTCTCATGATGTTAGTGTGACCAGAACCCGGGATCCAGCCGGTCACCACAATCACCATGTCGCCTGACTTGAAGAATCCTCTGGCTTTCCCTGCGAGGAGGTTGGACAAAGATGTCAAAGAAAAATGTCAGAAAGTGTTATAGTCAGGCACACACACACACACACACACACACACACACACACTGACCTATTTCCATGCCAAAGTTTACTCTACCGTCCACATCATCAGCCCAGACAGGAGCAGGAAGTGGGTGGAAGAGAGCGGGAAAAACACCTCTCAGCAGCTGGGACTGACGGGCGACCTGCACAACATCACAGACGATGTAAAAAATAAGTTGTTTTCAGGATGCACAATATATCGGCATCAATATCGGTATCGGCCGATATTAGTCATTTTTTAACATATCGTTATTAGTCCGGTAAATTAAACAGGGCCGATATTAACAACCAATATTTTTTTCATCTTGTTTCCAATTGTTTATCTGTTTCAGAGAGTGAGGGGGTGATGTGTAATTGTTTAGTCATTTGACCGTGATTGTAATCATCTCAGAAGCGTAAATGTGTGGTGTGTGTACATCCATCCATCCATCCATCCATCCATCCATCCATTCATTTTCTTCCACTTATCCAGAGTCGGGTCGCGGGGGCAGTAGCCTAATTTGAGAGGCCCAGACTTCCCTCTCCCCAGCCAGTTTGGGCCAGCTCTTCCAGGGAAATCCCAAGGCGCCCTGGCCAGGTGAGAGACATAGCCCCTCCAACGTGTCCTGGGTCTTCCGTTAGGTCTCCTGGATGGGCCTGGAAAACCTCACCAGGGAGGCGTCCAGGAGGCATCCTAACAAGATGCCTGAGCCACCTCAACTGGCTCCTCTCGATGTGGAGGAGCAGCGGGTCTACTCCGAGCCCCTCCCAGATGACTGAGCTTCTCACCTTATCTCTAGGGGAGAGCCCAGCCACCTTGTGGAGAAAACTCTTTTTGTGTGTGTGTGTGTGTGTGTGTGTGTGTGTGTGTGTGTGTGTGTGTGTGTGTGTGTACATACTAACGTAAATTCGGCGTTAATAGTTTTCATTCTATACAAAATCTGCTGATTTTAGAAGCATTAATGTCAGTATATGGGTGTTGGTTATCGACCATAACAGTGATATCAATATCAGATATCGGTATCGGCCCAAAAATTTCATATTGGTGTATATCACTAGTTATTTTGTCTTTAATTGTATCCACTTTTGATAATGTATCTCTTAAAAGAAACATGTGACCTTTTTCTTAAGTTATAATAGTTCTATGGTCGACACAAAACAGGAAGTTCTTTGCTCTAAATCCCTCTCACATAAAGTCATCTCAGCTGTTGTATTCTTCACATTTTCAGTACCTTCCAGAATGAGCTGTTTCAGGGCTCTGTCACTTTAAGAAAACAAGCTGGAGTTGGCCACGCCCACCCACACCCCACTTAAACTGCTATAAGCTGAAAAGTTCCAACATCCAGGAAGGGCTAAGAGTAGAGCCGCTGCTTCTACAGCAGCAGCTCTCTTGCACATTCGTTTTTTCCTGTTTGTGACATCACAAACAGAGACTTTTTGAAGCAGCTCTTTTTAGGTGCATAATTCCTCAATAGAAAATAGGTGGATGTGTTTTGTTCATGTTTGGAGAGTTTATAGAGGCAGTAGAGACCCACATGGGGTGCAAAAGGTGAGTTTTGCATATCATGCCTTCTTCAAAGATTCACTTTCTCCCTTCATGAAAACAACCTCCAGTTTCCAGACATATGAATAATGCACAAGGATCTTCACCGAGGTAATTACACATCTTTGGCTTGACATTCTTTCTGTGTTGATGCAACGTGTGAGGCACATGCTGAATTGAATCTGACCTCTGACCTTTACGTAGGATCTAACTGAAGTAATCTGCATTAAACAGCAGATAAAAATAACCCGATTTAAGAAATTAGGCACAAGTTAACAAGTAGTTGTGTATTTGATAAGGAAATGAACTTGGATTAGAGCTTTTTGGTGTTTTTGTGAATTTTAAACTGAAAACAAAACAGCTTCTGTCTTGCTATCTGTTAATCATTCTGAAATATGTTACAGTCCCAAAACACATTTCGACAATGGAGAGTTAATAACTGCATCTTTCACTGTTCAGTTTTGGAAGCACAACACGTGATTTTTAATCCCTGCATGACAAACATGGCTGTGTGGTTCAGAGGCAGATGGTACCTGAGGGCTTCTGGTCACGGCGATGATTGGACAGCGAGGGCGGTACCGGGACAGAAGATGTGCTGACCTGGAAAGAAAGATGGAGGATGAATGATCACCGGGGATTAGCTTCACTTGGTACAGATTATCCAAACCTTCCACCTCTAGTGTGCACAATCGACACGTTTGTGAAATGTTCACAGCAGGCGTAGCCGTGCAACAAACATGGTGACAGGTAATTCTGCACCCAAACTGCATGCACTGTGCAGTTTCGCAGGCATTAAACTCTGTGGTGACTTACTTCCCTTCACTTAGATTTAAGAAATAACTAAATCCTCTCAGTTTGTGTGAAGGAAGCCGAGGGCTGCAGGCTCACGCAGATGACGGTTGCAGGTTTGGTTTGAATACCTGCCACTGTTGGTGAGGACTATGATGGCCCCAGCACAGCATTTGAAGGAGGACTCAACAGCCCCGATCGCGGTGACCTCGGTGGGGTCGGAGGACAGCGGAGTGAGGCGGCGCAACTCTTCAAACAGCTGCTGGTGGAAAATGGCTGCTTCTGCTTCCCTGCAGATCTAACAGAAAGTTGCGTTGTGGGATAGAGAGTTATCGAGGGTCAGCAAGTCAGATAACAGGGTATCTGCAGGTTTAAGGGAGCCAAATTTAAGACTTTTTAAGACCTTTTTTAAGGCCACTTAGCCCAAATTTAAGCTACTTTTAAAATTTAATTCAAGCTATAATTTCCAGCTATTGCCTGGAACCGGTGCTAACTTGCCCTTCCCCATGGCGCAAGCTCCCACTAGCTTAACCAGCTAATGTGCTCATCTAAAAATAGCCCCCTTTCACAACCAACTGAATGTGTACGGTTCTGCTTACGCCAACATCATACACAAAATATGCTGAAGACTAACTAGAAATTGAGGAAAACAAAAGGATCTTGTTTATTGGGTCTTTGGTAATTTAAGACCTTTGGAAACTGTATTTAAGGATTATTTGTCATTTTTAAGGATTTTTAAGGCCTTGAATTTGGAAAAGCTAATTTAAGACTTTTTAAGACTTTTTAAGGACCCGCGGATACCCTGGATAACAACAAAACAGAGTGGATCTGCACACAGAAACACGCACCAAGTGCATCATCGCAACTGACTCCACAGGAAACCGTCCCTTGGCAGTCTCCCCTGACAACATGACACAGTCTGCTCCATCCAGCACGGCGTTGGCTACGTCGCTGCTCTCCGCTCTGGTTGGACGTGGGTGGGACACCATGCTCTCCAGCATCTAACAGCAACACAAATGCCTCCAGAGTAAGGGACACTAATTAGATCTTTGACAATTTTTATCAAGAGGACAAAAAGTGATGTAGAGCATGCTGGATTTGTGGGAAAGAACCAAAAGAGGAAGTGATGCTGGAATAAAAGAGTGGCCATTCATTCTGCAGCAGGCCAGGATGAATTCCTGAGGTCATTTTTGTGCATCATGACTCAATAAGGGATGCAGGCGCTTGGATAACAAGGTAGCCACAGCGTCGCCTGGGTAGCTGCATGTTTGCATCAGTTAAGAAGCTGTAGATGAAGCTGATAAGTGTGTGTGTGTGTGTGTGTGTGTGGGGGGGGGGTTGTAAGCTCAGGTCTCGAGCAGCAAACCTGCTATAACGCTGTCACTGTGAGTTGAGCGGGGTAGCATAAACAAGAAGCAGCACTGTGACTCAACATGGCTGCAGGAGCGTGTTGCATGTGGGTCTTCAGCTGTGTGTGAAGGATGGTGCATGGAGAGCACAGTGAGGTTAATCTGCACCTTTTAGGCCTCAGTGTAAAATTGCATGGACCTATCTGACACTTGATTGTCTCTAATTGCAGCTAAGAGTCAACATTTGCACATTTCAACACTTCTTTTTCCCTCCTTCCCCTGTACGTGTTTGTGCTCTGACCTGCGTGGCACAGATGACGGGCTTTCCAGCTGAGTTGCAGCGCCCAATCATCATTTTCTGGGCAACAAAGACTTTCTCAGCGGGAATCTCGATGCCCAAGTCGCCCCTGGCAACCATCACGCCATCACTCTCAGCAAGGATCTCCTCAAAACTGACACACAGGTTGAGAGAAAGGGGAAGTCAACGACTCAGCCTTTAAAGAGTTAACAAGCTCACATGTTTCTGGAACACAATTACAGGATTTTACTACATTTGTCTAAATATAGAAAAATAGTAAAATTTCTTTCACACTGCATTGTCACGTAAATCTTTAACAGCCTGGAAATAATATATAAATGTTTCTGCTCTGCGTTATTCTTGTGAATGAATTTTTATTTGATTTGGGACAGTGCATGTTAATGAACATACATGTAGGGTTAGCATGAATGTAAACACGCCAGATATTTGCCTAGGGCTAATTTCCCTCTGTAGTCCCGAGATGGTTGTCACATAAAAGTCCAGTGACGTTAACAAAGAGTTTGTTGACAAGGAAAAATAAATAAATAAATAAATAAAAACATCAATAAGACACAAATATGAGATTCTGGTCACTGCGGACCCGAGGTATTTGTCACTTTGGGGTTCTCGGACATTCGGAAAGTGGTCCAGTGATAATAAAAAGCGGTCCAATGGCATCATTTAAGAGAGCAGTGATAATAAATACTGAGGGGTAAGTCATAACTACATCATATATACAGTACAGTAGTAGGCATATTAGTGAGGATAGCATAGTTGACACTTTTAGCATGAATTATTACAGTTTTTATGGGCTCGACACACGGGAGGCCACATCGCCTCTCCTCCATTCATTTTCAATGAGACATGCGCGACAAAGCGATAATCGCGGGTCTCCCTCCTACCAAGCGAAACGCGAAAAACGTGCGTGTGAAATTTTGCGCTCGTGCACGTGTCGTGCACAGGCGACCCAGCGACGCGATCCCAGAAAGTTGAAACATTTTCAACTTTTCATCGCTGTCGCTCGGACGAGGACCGATCAACGGAGGTTTCATTCACTGACCAATGAGCGGACAGGATGCTCCGTACATCTCCGAGCAAACATGAAGGAGAAGTTGATTATTATTATGTTTTATAGTAAAATCAGAAGTAAGATTTCACACAACTCTAGCAGCACCTTGTGAAACATCATATCTACCGCTTTATTAACTCTGAACCGCTTAAATAAATTTAATTCCCTCCAACCTGACACAGCCAAACAAAACAACGGAAGTTTCGATTTCGCCACGGAACAGAACGCGTAGACGGCTTTGCCGCTGGCCGCGGGTCGCCTCGCGTGTGTCAGGTAATAAAAGCGACGGCGACAAATTTCGCTGATCGCGGTCGTTTGTCGCCTCCCGTGTGTCGAGCCCCTAAGGAGTACACGCTATTAGCATACAGGAATTGCGTTTGTAGTGACAATATCTTGGTTTCATGATTATGTTTTTGCACCCTGGTTACATAGCTGATTCGACCAGAGCCATTTTTTGGTTTCCGATTTGAATGTGGCGAAGGTGAAACATATTCTACTGGATTGGGGGAGGCTGTTCCACTGGTGGCCACCCTGTACTGAGAAGACTTTCTGTCCAAATGTTTTTCCGTAGGGGATCACTAAGTACCCGCGTGATGATGCGCGGGTGGCTCTTTTTGAGGTGCCATTGCATCTAATAAAGTCGCTTAGCGGAGGTGGGGCGAGAGAGTGTAGTACCTTGTATGTTAGACACAAGTTTTTGAGTTTGATTAGATTGTCTAGGTTGAGGAGTTGATGCTTTTTCAACACGTGGCAATGGCGGTGAGCCTCGGGTTTTTTATCAAGCAGCTTTAGGCTTCTTTTGTATTGTGTTATGACCGGTTTTAGTGTAGTCGGGCAGTTGAGCGACCAAGTTGTCAGGCCATATTCTAAGTGGGAGCTGATCATCGCATGAAAGTAGATCTTGGCAGTCTTTGTGTCTAGATTGATCCTGATGTGGTTAAAGTTTTCATTATTGAACTTGAGCATCTGGGTTACTATTCTTATGTGGCTTTTGAACGGTAGCGTTGGGTCTAGGGTAACCCCGAGGTATTTGACCTTTGGTGCTGGCTCAAGTTCTACCCCCTTCAGAAATACATTTGATTTTTGTTGATTTAAACAACGTTTTGTGAAGTACATGCATACGGTTTTGGAGGTATTTAGTAGGAGACAAGATTCATTTAACCAGTCGTAGAACAATGATAGAGCCGCTTTTAGGCCATTACCAGCCTGTTCGATGTTGTTAGCTTGCAGGTATATGATGGCATCGTCCACGTACATTTGTGTGTAGACATTTTTGCAGACGTCAGATAGGTTGTTGATGAAGAGAGAGAATAATATTGGTCCAAGAACCGATCCTTGGGGAACGCCGGTCTCGCAGTCCAGATCTGTGGATTTTGTTCCATCTAAGGCCACGTACTGTTTATGTTTACTTAGGTAGGAGGCAAACCATTGAAGAGCTTGGCTGGTGATGTTAAATTGAGTCAGCCTGGATAATAGCATGCGATGGTTAACTGAGTCGAAAGCTTTCTTTAGATCTAGAAAGACTGCCCCGACGCAGTGACTCTCGTCCAGCAAGCTTTTCAGGTTCTCTGCTACTACGCACAAGGCTGTTTCTAGAATGATGGGATCTGAAGCCGAATTGCATTCTGTGTATTGATGGTTTGGTATCCTCAAGATGTGTGGTTAGAAGTTTGACTACCCATTTCTCTGCTATTTTGGACACAACCGGGAGTATACTAATGGGGCGATAATTGGCCGTGTCAGTTCTAGCGCCTGATTTGAATATTGGGGTGACTGCTGCGATTTTCCAATCTGATGGGACAGTGGAGCTTTCGAAAGACATGTTTAGTACGTGTGTTATTGGACGAATAAGGAGGTCTCTGTGTTCTTTTAAAAAGCTGGTAGTTAGGCCAAATGCGTCAACGGGTTTTGAGTTTTTTAGGTCCGCAATTATCTTAGCCACCTCCGTGTCTGTGGTTTGGGTGATTGTCAAAAGGTTCTGATCGGTATCTTTTGTGTTTGCGATGGGGATGATGGGGTTGAACTTCTGACTGATCTCCTTGACTGAGTTTATAAAAAAGCTGTTTAATGTGCTGGCAATGGATGATGGTTCTCTAATAATGGTGCCATTAACATGTTTGGTTACTTTGATGTTTTTGTTTGAGTGGCGGCCTAGGAGTCTATTTAGGTTTTGCCAGATGAGTTTACCATTGCCGTTGGCATTCGTTATTAAATTAATGAAGAAGGTAGCTTTGGCTTGTTTTAGGCTTAGTGTTATCTTGTTTCGCATTGAAGTGAAACGCTGTCTGTCCAGAGTTAGTCCTGTTTGCAGGTATTGTTTTAGGAGTAGATCTCTTTTTTCATAAGGGTTTTGCATTCATTGTTTACCCACGGCAGAGCGGGTGTTTTATTTGCGCACTGTCAGCCTTTAGAGGAGTAAGTAGATATAACATTTTTGAGTGAGTTAGTTAGGTGGCCATTACAGAATTGTGGGTCTTTACTGTGCAGTAGAGGTTCCCAGTCGGTCGATTTTAGCGCTTCTGCTACATTATCTCGCTGATTTCTTGGAATAAATTCATAGAACGATCTATTATTGGAAGAACTGCATGAGTTATTTTCTGTCCGTGCTTTTGTAAGCTTTCTGGTAAATAAGATAAAGTTGTGGTCTGAGACGCCCGTTATAAGGTTGTGGGTGACTGTCAACTATATGTAGAAATGGATGAGAAGAATGCGGGCTTGCGATTGGCTGCATGTTTAGATGACGTGAAGGGCTGGCTGGCATCCAACTTCTTACAGTTAAATGAAAAGAAGTCTGAGTTTATTGATTTTGACCCCCGCAACCACCATGGCTCTCACCCTGTTTGTGACCTTTTAATCCTCAACCCCAAACAGTGTGTGACAAGTCTCAGGGTAAAGCTGGATGCTGAACTCTCAATGGCCCCACAGATAAACTCCGTAGTGAGGTCTTGCTTTTATCTGCTTCGCCGCCTTACTCGCCTCAGACAAATCCTGAAACGGAGGCATTTGGAGTCAGTCATCCATGCCTTCATTACCTCTGGCCTTGACTACGCAAACGCCCTCCTTGTTGGTGTTCCGGTCTCTGCCCTGAATCGGCTGCAGGTCGTCCAGAACGCTGCTGCCAGGTTCTTGATGAGTACACACCGACGTAGCCATATTAGCCCTGTCCTGGAACATCTTCACTGGCTCCCTGTCATTTTCAGAGTACAGTTTAAGTTATTGACTTTTGTATTTAAAGCACTCAACGACCGGGCACCTCCCTATCTCTCTGACCTGCTCATTCCATATATACACCACGTGCACGTTGAGGTCGGCTGACCTTTTCCTGCTGTGTACGCCGCGGATGCGATACAAATCACGGGGTGAGCGAGCATTTGTGCATGCTGCCCCAAACCTGTGGAACTTGTTGCCCATTGGAGTTCGGCAGGCTCCATCACTGGCGGTTTTTAAATCTCGTTTAAAGACCCACTTTTACGCTTTGGCTTTTAGACAGTGACTCGTTTTAGTGTTTTAATGTGTTCTTAGTATTCATCATGTTTTATCTGCTTTTGATCTGTATTTTTATCCTCTGTTTTAGTTCCTTAGAATGGTTGCGTTTTGTTTTAGCCTGTGCAGCACTTTGGGCAGCTCCCATGCTGCGTTTTAAACGTGCTTTATAAATAAACTATGGTATGGTATGTGAAGGTATAATTCAATTCATCCATTATGAGCTTTTTTACAGCCCCAGTTTATGTTGAAGTCACCCATTACAATTATCTCGTTGGATTTGTTGTTTACACTGTTATGTTTGATTAGCGCTCGTAGTTGTTCATAGAATTTTTTTTTTTTTTTGCAGATGGAGGACGGTATACATGGTAAATGGTAAATGGCCTGTATTTGATATAGAGCCTTCCAGAGTCCTGGAACCCCCCAAGGCGCTTTACAACACAATCAGTCATTCACCCATTCACACACACATTCACACGCTGGTGGGGATGAGCTACGATGTAGCCACAGCTGCCCTGGGGCGCACTGACAGAGGCGAGGCTGCCGAGCGCTAGCGCCACAAGTCCCTCTGACCACCACCAGCAGGCAACGTGGGTTAAGTGTCTTGCCCAAGGACACGACGACAGCGACAGACTGAGCGGGGCTCGAAGCTGCAACCTTCCGATTACGGGGCGAGCACTTAACTCCTGTGCCACCGTCGCCCAGTATAGACAGATAAGTGTGAAAGGGAGATTTTAACAGAATTATGTTCTATTTCTACTTCAGTTGGAGAATCGAGTATAGAGAATTTAAGCTGTTTTTAAAGTAAACTGTTATTCCTCCTCCTCTCGCTCCGGTTCTATCTTTCCTGAATAATGTGGAGTCCGGAAAGGTAACTGCAGATTTAGGAGAGGAGCTCGTGAGCCAGGATTCAGATTCCCAGGACAGTGATATTAGTGTGAAATGTAATCTTCATGATCCAGTCGAAAATAAAATCCCAGTGAATTAAATCTGTGGTTAACCGCTGTCAGCAGCCGGTGAGCAGAAATAGAAAACATGAGATAAGTAATTGAAGAAGGAGAGCGGCGATGTAAACTGTGTCAGATATTTTAAGTGGTAGCAATAATTTACTCAGACAACCAGAGAGAGCGGGATCGCTTATCAAACGTATCAAATGCACATCTGAGAAATGTCACTTCTTCACTCAGCAGGGAAACCAGTCAGGCCACAATCTCTGGGAGATTTACGAGTCCTGTCACAAGTCTCGTGACGTGTTTGGTTTTCATTTAAAATGGTCTACTCACTGCTGAACCCCTTGCCGGCTCTCCACCTTGCTGATCACTTTGATGTGTCGCCCGTGGGCACCCAAAGCTCGTCGTACATCCTTTACGTCCTGAGCTGAACGGATGAAGCTGGCAAACACCATGTCCACGCCGTGAGACACCCCGAACCTTAGGTCGGCCTCGTCCTGAACGCTGACTGCCTGCATCCCGATCAGGTTGCACCCAGGAAGGTTCACGCCTTTACAGCTGCAGAGCATCCCTCCTGCCTCCACCACAACATCCACCCAGTCTGAGCCTGCAGCGACCAGACCAGCAAAACCAGAGTAAGGCATGAAAAGATGCAGCATCCCACCCGGCTATCTGAGTGTTTGACACGGAAGTGGACTGATCATGATTTGTGCTTCTGTTGAAGTCAATTTTTTACAATTGAAACATTGCAGCTGCCTGCCTGTGGAGTAATTACAACCATAAAACCCCTGGGACACATCTAGTTACAAACTACAGGTTTTTAATCTATAAATGGATGAATATAACCAATTTTATATGTGTAAGATGCAAAAGTGTTGAAAACATGCCAATCATGTTTTTATCTAATCCTGATCTTATGAGACACCTAACCCTTCGTTTTATGTTTTTATTTGTTTTTTTGCACTTTGATATTGTGAAACCATAATATGCACAGAAATCTTTACTATTGTGTTACTATTAAAATTAACATAATTATTTCTATTCAAGTTTGGTTATATAGCGCCAAATCACGACAAGAGCCGTCTCAAGGCACTTCACATGGTAAACATTCCAATACAGGTCAGTTCATTAAGCCAATCAGTAAAAAGTTTCCTATATAAGGAACCCAGCGGGTTGCATCGAGTCACTGACTAGAGTCAGAGTCTTTACAGCGATCCTCATACTAAGCAAGCATTTAGCGACAGTGGAGAGGAAAACTCCCCTTTAACAGGAAGAAACCTCTAGAGGATCCTGGCTCAGTATAAGGAGCCATCCTCCACGACTCACATCCTTTCAAGACTCAATGAGCTGTTTCTCCATAATGAACTATTTTTATATAGTTCTTGTGTTTAGGTTGGAAATTTAGTGAAATCAAACTCATAAAAATGTTTTTACCTATTTCTAACACTTTGAGAGCGAGGAGGCCATCATCAATGTAGATTTTTCTTCCCTTCTCCAGGACTTTAGGCAAGCTGGGATAGTCCACCCAGATGATCTTCCCGTCTGTCTTGTCTTTGTCGCTTTCTGCTGTCACCACTCGCACATGGCTGCCTTTCACCAGCTCCACCTCCCCTTCCACTTTCTGTGCATGGTGCAAACACACACACACACACATGCAAACACAAATAAATAATTAAATACACTGTTGAGGAAAAACACATTTTCAGAAACACAAAGCACTTGTGGCATTTTTCTGTCAGCTCGCCTGTCCTTGCAAACCAAAGCTGTGACTCATCAAAAGCTCGACTGTTACTGAAAACAGAGTTTGTAGAATAGGCTGATGATTTTAGGGCATCTATGACATAAAATAAAAAGAAATCAAAATAGTGAAGGTATTGCATTGAGACTTGGTATCAGCAAATATTTACTTTTTTCAAAAACAGTCTTTATTTAAAGACCAAGTTCACTTGTTTTTTCAACACAATGGCAGTGGTCTTTTGTATGAATTATTGCCTTGTTGATCTCTGTAGGAAAACAGCTCTGGTGCTCCTGTTTCAGGAGGTAAAAGTTAGCCAGAGCAGAGGTGAAGAGAACACGGGGTGTTTCTCAATGTCAAGGCGCCTGGCCTTGTGAGGCGATGTCTTGCGAGGCCAGGCTCCTTGCTTATGAGGACGCTGTCCTTCCTTGTTCAAAGAAAATGGTTAAATGGTACCGACTTGCATCACGTGACCGCGGCTTCCACGGCGGTCACGTAACGTCACGTGACACGGGAGGTAACGTTATATTTTAAATGTATTAGTTTCAATATAAATATATAACGAGTCTTTTAGTTTTTTAATTGTGTATATGTTTATTAAATTAAAAATATAAGCGAGTTACTACCCGCTAGCCACCGAAGCTGCAACTACTAAGCAACTAACCAACCATAGATAACTTCTTTGGATCTAAAAAAAAAACATTTAAAATGAGTCGGCTTACTTTTACACTTCAAAATTGTCCCCGAAGTAGCTGTCGGCTTCTGATCCGCCATCCTTTTGAAAATACCGCAGTGTATTCTGGGTAATTTTTACCAAGGCTAGGCTGCAAGACACCTCCCGTGTATCCTCGCTCAGCTAGCTAATCGGCTAACAAACGGAGAACACACACCTCGGTAGAAGGTTGCAGGTTCGATCCCGGCTACGGACAGAGAACTCTGCTGTTGTGTCCTTGGGCAAGACACTTAACCACCTTGCCTGCTGGCGGTGGTCGGAGGGAGCGGTGGCGCCTGTTCTCGGCAGCCTCGCCTCTGTCAGTGCGCCCCAGGGCAGCTGTGGCTACATTGTAGCTCATCACCATCAGTGTGTGAATGTGTGTGTGAATGGATGAATGATACACTGTAGTGTAAAACACTTTGGAGTCCTTACTCTGAGAGGCGCTTTACAAGTGCGGGTCATTTATCATTTAGAACATGATTGGAAGACGTCTTGGCAGCTCCCAATGACGTATCTCCTAGGCAGCCGGGGCGGGGCCAAGACATCAAGGCAAGGTTCCTTGGCATTGAGAAGCACCCACGGTGGGATTTGGAGTCTTATTTCCTGATATTCAAGTATCTCGCTTCTGATTGGTTAACAGCAACCTACCACTGACTCAGCTTTGAAACGTTGATGTTTTATCTCCACAAATAACACAAGCCAGCAGGAGTTCTGCCATGTTGTTGAGCTGCTAATGCTAACAGTTAACTTCTACTAGCCAAGACGTTCTCTGCTGTTTCCTGGATGCTAACCCAACAACAGCCTTCCCCAAAGGGAGTCAAGATGGGTGAGTCCATGAATGTTTTCAGTATGACGTAGATTTGATTGTCTTTTCTAATTTGAGCATTTCCCCGTCTACTTTCTATCGGCGGCAAATTCAGGAAACAGGGGTAGAAGACTATTTTCATCTTCAGCTTGCATGTTAAAAAAAAACAAGTTTATCAGTGAACTTGGTCTCTAAATCTGGAGATGTGTTTTTGTTCAGTGATGTCAATAAATAATAATAAAACTAAAACAGTGTCAGCAAACAAAAAGAAGGAACAAGCTCAAAGTTATCTAGAACAGAAGAGGGCAAGTGACACAGTTTAAACTTCTAAATAAACTAAAGTGTTGATTGGAGGAAGCACTGGAGACGAGGCTGAGTGTTGGAGATCACGTGTCACGCAGAGCTTTTTGTAAGCTAATCAAGACACGAAGAGGCTGCCAACAGCTCGGAGGTATTTCTTCGGCTATGGAGATGGCAGGCAACAGAAAACACAAACACCACCAACACAATAAGATGTTGATAAAAATGCAACACATCACCCGCCCACAGCTGTTGTTTTGCAAAGACAACCTGCAATAAATGAAGTCGACATGTTTTCTGCACCTCCTCCATCTGACTGCGTGTGGCTGCTTGATTACACAGCTTGATACACGAAACATAACATGTTCACCCCTTTCACTAATCCGGTGCGGATCTCCGGACCCTTCGTGTCCAAAGCGATGGCCACTGGTCGATAATACAAGGGGTCAGAGGTTATGGTCTCCACTGCCTCTCTGATGTTTTTGATGGTCTCACTGTGGTACTAAAAGACAGAAAAAACAGAGTTTTATGCGTCTGGGTGAAGAAGAAAAAAACAAAGCGTAAAGTGTATGGATACTCACTTCATGAGAACCATGAGAGAAGTTTAGGCGAGCGATGTTCATGCCGGCCTTCACCATCTCCTGGAGCTTGGGGATTGATTGAGATGCAGGACCTGAAAAATGGCACCACATAGTGTATGTGTGGGATGCCCCGTCAACTGTCACTGTCTATTGGAGATGCCGTGGTGGCCGACCGCCATTTAAGACAGATTAGCCCCCAGTGCATTCATTTCTACTGAGGGAGGTGTCACGGTTGGAGGTGAGTGAACACACCTCACTCACATGCTAAGTAATTGCAGATGGGCGGAACCGGAGAGCAACTAGCTGTTTGCCATCAAGCGGCTGGCTTCTTAAGGAGCAGGGAGACACACCTCAGCGCTGGATGATTACTCAACCTTGGTAGTGCTACCTGAGTGTCACGAGCCCTTATTTTCGATCACGACCAGATTATCTTCCGAGCCTCATTCTGAGTACCTCATGTGCCTTCTCCCTGTCCTTACAGGTCACAGCCTCCACCTACAGAGCCTGCAATAATTCTGAATTCACGCCCGTCTCTCAGCTCCCCAGCCAAGCCTGACCGACCCGCTCTCCGCCGCCCTCTGCATCTTCCTGGACTCTGAGAATCTCCCGAGTTTCACTCTGCCCCGCTTAGCTCCTGCCACTCACCTGCCAACCGGACATCCCCCCTTCCCGAGTCCCGAACCTCGTTCATAAGGATTGGACTAAAAGGACTGAACAGAGTTCCTGAAATTCACCTTGCCTTTCCATGGTGCTCTTTTAGTTACCTTAGAGATAATAAATTATTATTTACTCACCTTAATCCCTGTGATCTGAGTTGATTCTGTATGTCCTGGGTCAGACAGCTAAAACCCAACATGACAGAAGGTGCTTATCCAAGTAAAAAACACGTTTTATCCATTTTTTCACAAAATCAAACAAGGTATGGTATGATGAATAAAATATAATTAAATAAAAATAAATATTAAATATGAAACCCTATCAGGTAGGCTTGAAAAGTCACTAGTAATCCCACGTGATCTGTTTTCAATAGTACGCTGGTTGTTGTAACCGTAGGCTGCACAGAAAGGGGCATCGCTGCTCACTCTGCATTGACTTTAGAGTGTGAAGAGACCCATCCAACATGGCGGTGACGCTGTTACACCCTCCAGCGCCCAATGGGGCGTCTACGCATTCATGTCTACGATTTGCACAGCTCAATCTCATACAGACGAGTGTTGTGTTTGACGCGTTTTTATTTCTTAAAAACTCACCTCACACTGCCCAGAGTTTCTTCTTTAAAACTCGTGTTAAATAACGAGCGTCATGCGCGCCGTATTTTTCATCGTAAGATGAAAATTTTAATTCAGTTGTCACAGTGGAAAAGTTCAGCAGACATGTTTGTTTGCACGTTTGCCGCTGCGTGCCTGCACACTGTGAGAAAAAGGAGGGAGAGGCGACACGATGTTCAGAGTCTCTACAGACTCCACAGTAGCAGCGACAGTCAACTGGTCTGATTCGCTCTGAAAGACGTTGATCACAATTTGCAGATCTCATTTTTTAAACAGAGACCGGGCGGGTGCAGCCATCATGCGTCACTCAATACAGCGTTCGTGCAGAAACTCGCAGAGGAACTTTTATCCGCCGCACTTAAATTACTCAAATGTGTGAAAAATGCATTATTTTATGGAAAAAATAAACCGAAACGGTACGCAAGTGGACCGAACCGAACTGCCCCAATCAAAACGGTTCAAATAACCTCTGTTAACCGTTGAACCCCTAATAAATGTATATATATATATATATATATATATATATGTATATATGTGTTCCAACTATAGGGGGATCACACTCCTCAGCCTCCCTGGAAAGGTCTACTCCAAGGTACTGGAGAGGAGGGTCCGATCGATAGTTGAATCTCAGATAGAGGAGGAGCAATGTGGTTTTCGTCCTGGCCGTGGAACTGTGGACCAGCTCTATACCCTTGCAAGGGTGATGGAGGGGGCATGGGAGTTTGCCCAACCAATCCACATGTGCTTTGTGGATTTGGAGAAGGCTTATGACCGTGTCCCCAGGGGCACCCTGTGGGGGACGCTCCAGGAGTATGGGGTGGGTGGCTTTCTGTTAAGGGCCATTCAGTCCCTTTACCAGAGGAGCGTGAGTTTGGTCCGCATAGCCGGTAGTAAGTCGGACCTGTTCCCAGTGAGGGTTGGACTCCGCCAGGGCTGCCCTTTGTCACCGGTTCTGTTCATCACTTTTATGGACAGAATTTCTAGACGCAGCCGTGGTGTGGAGTGTGTCGAGTTTGGTGGCAGGAGAATCTCGTCTCTGCTTTTTGCGGATGATGTGGTCCTCCTAGCTTCATCCAGCTCTGACCTTCAGCTCTTGCTGGGTAGGTTCGCGGCCGAATGTGAAGCGGCTGGGATGAGGATCAGCACCTCCAAATCTGAGACCATGGTTCTCGACCGGAAAAGGGTGGCTTGCCACCTCCGGGTCGGGGGAGAGGTCCTACCTCAAGTGGAGGAGTTTAAGTATCTCGGGGTCTTGTTCACGAGTGAGGGTAGGAGGGATCGGGAGATCGACAGGCGGATTGGTTCGGCGTCTGCAGTGATGCGGACGCTGAGCCGATCTGTCGTGGGGAAGAGGGAGCTGAGCCAGAAAGCCAGGCTCTCGATTTACCGGTCGATCTACGTCCCAATCCTCACCTATGGTCATGAGCTTTGGGTAATGACCGAAAGAACGAGATCGCGGATACAAGCGGCCGAAATGAGTTTCCTCCGTAGGGTGGCCGGGCTCAGCCTTAGAGATAGGGTGAGGAGCTCGGACATTCGGGAGGGACTCGGAGTAGAACCGCTGCTCCTCCGGATCGAAAGGAGCCAGTTGAGGTGGTTTGGGCATCTGGTCAGGATGCCTCCTGGACGCCTCCCCGGGGAGGTGTTTCGGGCATGTCCTGCCGGCAGAAGGCCCCAGGTCGACCCAGGACACGTTGGAGAGGTTACATCTCCAATCTGGTCCGGGAACGCCTTGGGGTCCTGCCGGAGGAGCTGGTGGAGAAGGCCGGGGAGAGGACGGCCTGGAGCTCCCTAGTTGGGATGCTGCCCCCGCGACCCGGACCCGGATAAGCGGAGGAAGACGAGAGACGAGAGACGAGAGAGGTGGCCCCTCCTTTGATGCTGGCCTAGAACCTCCCCTGTTAGCTGCTTTCAAATGTAATAAAACGTAATTCCTGTCTCTGTAAGTGTTACTTAAGCACTTTTAATGACAAACTCTTTAATTTCCTTTTTGGAACTGCAGGAGAAAGCTGAATGTGCCAAAACCCTGCCATGAGAACTGAAACTGAGACAGCCTGCTCCTGGCTGCAGCACTCACCAATGGTGCAGATTATGCTGGTGTTGCGCGCCGTGATTGGCTCTTGGTCGATGTCCAGCAGACAGAGATGCTCCAGGAAAGTGTCAGCCATGCTGGCATCGAGCTGCTGGCGCTGAATGAAAGAGTCCGGCATTGTCATCACATCCGAGTAGCGCCTGATGCGAGCTACAGCAACAGAAAAACGTCGTTGGTGAGGTGAAGCTAATCACGAAGCTTTGCTTTCAAATCCACATGGGGGGATAAGGCAGCTGTTGTGGAGATGACCCTTTTAGTTTGTGTTTTATTGTTAAAGCAAAGAGAGAACGAAGATTTATCATCTCCAGGTGCCAGATAGAATTCCTGATGTTCAGCTTCACTCCCCTCCTGAGCAGAAAGACGGTGGTAAAACAGAGGAAAGCTGATAATAATGGAGAAAATGTTTGAAATCTGACACATTTAAAGCACAATATAGTAATAGATACTCATAAAAGCTCCCACAGTTAAAGGCAGGATGGTTTTCAGTGAATATCACTGGATGACACAGATTATTTCTTTTATTTTGTTATTCAGTGAAGCAGAAATAAGCTGAAATAGGACATGTTGCTTCTCAAAAGAAATATCCAGACTAAGACAGCAAGGCTGAGTTGTGTTGTTCTTTTTGAACGAGCAGAAACAAAATTAAAGAAATTCCTTTGGAATATTGAAAAACTTGCAGTAAAATGCTCATAATAAAAAAAATAAGATAGCTCTAAAGTACAAATTCACAAAACAGTGAGGCAACATGAAAGGATCTGAAAGGTTTGGAGTTCAAATCCCAAAATGTGACTAAAGGAATCCAGCATCAAATGCTTTAATAATAAATGAAGCAGTATGTTTATGAATAATGAAGTATGATATGTTTATTTATTTGGCAGATGCTTTTATCCAAAGCGACTTACAAGTTACAACTTGTAGAGGATGTTGTGATCTGTGGGGGAAACCGTGGTACCCGGAGGAAACCCAGCATGCATGGGGAGAACACGCAACTCCACGCAGAAGGGCCACAGCCGAGTTTCGAACCTGCAACCTTCGTGCTGCGAGGCAACAGTGCTAACCACTGTGCCACCATGCAGCCCCAGTAGAACATTAATAAGTCGAAAGTTATGATGAATCAACGCAATCACTGAAGCTATTTGAGTTCAGTGATAAAAACCCTAATAAGGTTGAATCCGGAGTGCTTATTTTCACTATTTGATCAATTGTTGCTTTAAAGAAGAAAACAGCTCTGGCGCTCCTGTTTGAGGAAGTATCCAGAAGAGTGGGGAACAGAAGGTGGCAGGTGAGTCTTCTTTCCAGATATTCAGACGTCTCACCTCTTATTGGCTAACAGCAGCGTGACTCTACCGCTGACTGTTTGCTCTGCAGCGTTGACGCTTTATGTCCTCACATAACACAAGCCTGAAGGAGTGCTGCCGTGTTGTAGAGTTGCTAACGCTAACGGTTAGCTTCTACTAGCTGAGATGTTCTCTGCTCTCTCTTGGATGCTAAATCAACAACAGCTTACTGCAGCCTTGAACCAAGAGACACAGAATAAAAAAAATACTATTTTATTGTTTAAAGAAAAAAATACAGATATTTACACTAAGAAATCTTCTGGAATGGGTTGGGAATGTTTCACCCACGGACAACTCATAAATCAACTACCAAGGTAAAGTGAAAAAGTTCTAGATGTTTAATGGAGATTCAACTAGAGCCAGTGAGTAATGGTTTGAGACTTGACCACCAGCAGATCATGTCTCTCATGTTAAGGCTTCACTAGGAGCTTTGATCCTGAACAGTGAAATCCATTTTGAAGGATGTCACAGTCGGTCAAACTCGCAGTTTTTAGGGAGGACAGAATAAAGACGCTGCGAGCAACCTGACAGACAAGGTCAGTGGAAACAAAGCAACACGGATGGAGGAGGTGAGGGCACAGAAGGTGAGAGCCCGTGGATTCAACGGCAGCCTTTTTTAAGAACCTCCTGACAAACGCCTCTACATATTTTTTATTTGAGTGCGTCAGTTGTGAAATATCTTAAACTAAAACAAAGCCTTGAAATATCCCCAGGAAGATTGATGACTGGGAGGTTTTGAACTCCCAGTGCTCGTCGATCCAGCAGATTCAGGCGCTGTCAGTTTTGACTTTTTCACTTTGTGTCTTATTCTCCGTCTCTGCACCTCCCTGTGACCCAGTTCTGCCGCTCTGCTGCACACATCATTACGAGCCCCACTGAGATCTTCCTCTGACACTCCACCCTGCCTGTACACATGGAAACACTCACATCCATTCCTGTTCTTAGAAAGGTTGGCTAAAAATAAAGCAGACGCCAGGTCAAAGACATTAAAGTTGCAAAATAGCCGCGTGTAGAGTGACATCACCGATAAGAGAGGTGAACCTGTTGATGACCACCCACAGCAGGAATCATCCACCTACGGTTGGCCTTATGCAGGTCAGCGTGTCTTTGTGCACAATCAGCTCAGAAAGAGGGGAACGTCATTTATTAAACCACCGAGTAATTCCCATTGCTCCCCACGGGGATGGGTCAATGTGGGGGATGATGACATTGAGACCTTGATGTTTGAATACTTTTATGTGAAACCCCTCAGAACATCACTAATCAAGTTCTATGCCAACAATTCCAGCGGCGTGCTCAAATGGGGGCCATGGCCACCCCTGGAAAATTCAGGGCCACCACACTGGCCCCCCAAGGGAGTCCAACCCCCTTTAAAAAAACATTAATTCATCAGCCTCAATCAAGACATAATTTTTAAAGAAATCAATAAATACATCATTTTAAATGCATTTTAAATAAATACTTTAGGTAATAAATCACAATTGTATACAAATATATAAAACGGTGAGCCTCAGTGACATATATGTGTGTTAGCGTGTCACTGAAGCTCATCGTTTTGAGGAAAAAATGTTATATATGAATTTATGTAAAAATTCCAAGACTTTTTGCATATTTTTTTAGAAAATTTGTCTTATTTTTAACGTTTGTGCTTCTCGAATTTGGGGTAAATATATTGGATACATAGGCCTTTTGATTTTTAATGAAAAAGAAAAAGGAGCAACACCATGCACAGCTGCAGGTCAAACTCTCCCAGAGTTGCTAGAGGGACCAATTTGGTGCTTCACCCCAAAAATTTTACAGGCACCCCATGCAAATTTTCTGGTGGCACTACTGCATGTAGCGTCGGCAAAAACAACCTCTAAATGGTCATTTTTAGAATTTAACACCATAATAAAGCTTTATTAAATTTGACAAATGAACAATAATTCTACTTACCCATGTTCATCAAACTCTCCATCCCAGTTCTGTTTTAGAGCTTTAATTTGTTAGAATTTTCCTCTTTTGTGTTATTTTCTAGTGTCAGAGTTGCACGCTCGTCTATTCTAACTCTGAGTCACCTGAACAAGCCTTTTTCATTCAATTTTAATCTTTGACCCCAGCTGCCCACTCTATCACCCCTCCCCCTCACACCATTTGGAGCTAAAAATAGCAAAAACTTTGTATCCAAAAAATAACAAAAAAAACCATTGGGGAGCTCCAAGCTCCAAATCCAACATGCAAACATGTATTACTATAGTTTTACTTCAAAAAGACTGTATTAATATATATTTTTTCGCACTTTGTGCTTTATTTATTGATTTGTCTGTTGACAACTGGCAAGAAGTTAGAATAATCAATGTTTTTCTTGTCAAATTTTTCAGACTCAATCATTCATCAACCACATTTTAGAAAAGTCATGATTTTTCATTATCTGAACCAACAATACAAAACTGGGGATGAGGCTTTTACAATCATCAGATTGTTAAAAATAAAAACAAAGAAATAATAAATTAAAAGCTGGAGTTTTTTTTTAGTGATGAACCGCACCTGCAGACCCTAATGAAGGCTGAGGAGACATTTCAGCTGTTGGATTAGGCGAGGAGATAAGTTTCACTTTGGGTTTTACTAACGGACACTAGGGGATGCTGAAAGTAAGCCAAAACTCCCAAGTCTTCCTTTAACCCTCCCACTGTCCGAATGGGTGACCCCACGAGGAAAGTTGACCATTGAGCAGGATTGATGGTTTATCCCTTGAGGTCCATATGGCAGGGGGGAGGAGTGAGCACCACCTCACCCCTGCCACGTGGACCCAAGGGATGAACCATCAACCTGCTCAATGGTCAACTTTCCTCGCGGGGTCACCCATTCGGACAGTGGGAGGGTAAAACATCCAAAGCCTCCCTTTGGACTCCAGCTGAAACGGCTCATTATGGAAGGTACTGAAACTGTCAAGAATAAAACAGCTGCAGTTGCTTAATGTGAGAGGGGTTTATTGAAAAGAAGTTCATAAACTTGTTTTGTATCAACCATTGAACCATTATAATTATTATAACTGAAAAAAATCATAACATTTCTCCTTTTAAGCAAACCAAAAGAAAGCTGAAGGTTGAGTAACAGCTTTAACAGTGAATTCGAAAACAAATCGGTGCACCAGACATTATTTAAAGGTTTCACGGTGTTTATCTGTGTGATAGGTTTGTTTTTGTCCTGGCAGTTTACTTTCTGTTTTCTTCTTAAACATTTGGATGTTTTGAACTTATAAAATGTAATCTATAAGAACCCTTTGTTGTACAAATGTGAAACAAATGAGACAACATGTGGAAGAGACGCCTCGTCTTCTCACTGACACCGTTTACTCTGCAGGGCTGTATCCATGCAGAGTCACGTACAATCCCACTCCGGCCCAGCGTGTAAATCTTTAGCTCCAAGACAAACAAAACCTTTGTTCAACCGGCCAAACACACACCTCACACCATACAGCGACGCTGCAGACTCTCTGCAGATGTTGCAAAGGTCACTTTTTACACCTGAACACCAAAGTCCAACACTACGGTAACAAATTTAAATGTACATCCACTAAAAGTAGCACTGAAAGAGACATGCAGCAAAGTTTTTCTCTTTAGATTTCTCTTCCTTTTTGGGGAAAAGCAAACTTTAGATCCTCAGCCAAACAAGGAAGATATTTGTTTCCCTTTAAAAAGAGACATCTTGTTACATAACAATAGGATGTAGAAAGACGCCTACAGATCAGACTGAACTACATAAAAAAGGAAAGGAAAGTTTAGATCTTAGGAGAGAAAACAACCAACCTGTTGAACGCAGCAAGAAGCAGGTCTGACAGGTAAGAAGGAAGGAGACAACATTGTTAAAGGGTGCGTTAGAGTGAGTACTAGCGCCATCTGATGGGCAAAAATGATAACAGATGTCATCAATTCAATCAAGAGGAGAGATTCTTTTTTATTGGACTCTAACTGATTTAAACCTCATCACAACACCGTGCTGAACTGTGTGAATAAACGTTTCAGGCGTCTGTGTCAGAGCTGGCTGAAGGTGATCTTGGGTGGCGTCTCTGGCTGCAGGATGAGGGTGAGGTTGGTTTTGAGGTCATCTGAGGACGGCACGCTGAGACGGAAGTTCAACAGGATCTGAACGCAGAGGGGAGAAGATGAAGGGAGGTGGGCGAGGGAGATAAAAACGACGAAAGAGTCGGAAGAGGAGAAACGGAACAGATTTTAGAGACATTAAAGTTGAGCTCATTCCTGTTTTCTGCAAGCTTTCCATTTTGTGCAGCTTTCTCCTTTAGTCTGTAGTTCAAAGTGATTTTTTTATTCTAACCAAACCTGGAAGCATCTGCTTCTAGTTTTATCATATGAGGTTCAGTTTCTTTACTAAAACCCAACCTTAGATCTTTGCTCCTATTTGAATTTTTGTTTTGGCCGTTATTTGAGCAGATTACCAACTGCATGGGCCTCTTCATTGCTACGTGTTTAAGACACATGTGACCAAAACACTCACGTGCATGAGCAAGAGCTGCATCTCATTCTCAGCAATCCTCCTCCCAACACACTGTCTCGCCCCGAATCCAAAAGACAGAGAGCGAAACCCGGCCCCGTCTCCTCTCCTGCTGCCCAGCCACCGACCGGGATCGAAGCGCAGTGGATCCTCAAACACCTGGGTGCTCCTTCCCATCGGGTAGAGGCAGGCTTGAACCATGGTCTGTAGAGGAGTCAACACGCTCATTACTCCTTCACTATACCAGATTGTGTTTGTTAGCAGATAATCAGCGATAATAAGAAACGAGCACTCACCCCTGCAGGTATGTGATAATTCTGGAGAACAATATCCGTAACAGGATACCGCTGAACCGTGATTCCAACCGGGTATAACCTGATGCAAACAAAGGAACACTCGTGTTTTCCACACTCTCAAGATTACCAAAATATTAATTTCAGAGCACTGATTGTTTTTCCTGCTCTACTGATCTAAAGTGATGAGTTGTTTCCCTTCATCACTGCAGTTCATTCCTGTTTTGAAGTCCCTGATGCTTTTTGTTTTAGGTCAAATGAAAGTCACTGGAAGTTGTTGCCTCAAATTCTGGAAAGGATTCATTCTGGAGAGCGGTTTGGTTTGGACATACTCGTGAAAAATTAGAATATGGTGCCAAATTCCGTTTACGTCAGTAATTCAGCTTAGACTGAGAGACCTTCTAAAGGCTCAGGAACCCTCTGCAGGTGTTCTGGATTCACCAGCTGTTTGGAGTGTGATACTTTGAGCCTGAAATATTGAACATTTTCACAATATTTTCAACGTCTGAGATTTAGAATTTGAGGTTTTCATACGTTGTAAGCCGCAATCATCACAGTTACAACAAATAAAAGCTGAAATTTCTGGCTTTGCATGGAAAGAGTCTGTCTCCTATTAGTTTCACCTTTTAAGTTTAATTACTGCAATAAATGAGCTTTTACACCATGTTCTCATTTTTCTCCACAGGAGAATCTGCTGCTTTGAGGCCTTGGAGGGTTTTATGAGACAAGTATGCAAACTAAAAACAAATAGCTTCAGGGTTTATTTATTCTTTCAACCAATTTTGATTCCAAAATCGCAAATTGGTTTACCAAAAATGTTTTGTTTAATCAAATACAAAAAAATAAAACCCCACTTTAAACTAGGGATGCTCAATATTAGCCTTTTTACAGATATCCAGCATACCATATTGTCCTAATTTCCAGTACCAATTTATGCTGTGTCCCCCTCTCATGAAGAAAGGAAAACTAAAATGTCTCAGGTTAGTAACATCCCATAAATCCATGGTCCTGAATTGGAAAGGGGTAGAGGGCCTCCTGACATGAAATACACGTGTATCCTTTTGAAATTATAAACATGAAATTACAGAAATGTTTGAACTCTGCTTGTTGTTCACATAAAAGCTAGGGTTACAAGCTAAAATCAGTATTTATATGCAAGTGTCATAATAAAATCAGGCAGGCATTTAAAAGTCATCAGGTTACCCAACTTGAGTACTTTTAATGTGATGTAAATAAATGTATGTTGAGCCTTGGTGATGTATGTAAGTGTGCTACATAAACCTTACATATAGGCTATATCTACAAATATATATTTATGTTTAAAGCAACATTAAAGGGGTTTTTTACGTGAAACTACTGCTTTTGAACTGGTTTCAGTGGTTCTTGAACCGTACCATTGAGCAACTTTACATGGGGCAGCACTCTGTAGCCCTTTAGTGACCGTTTTGTGTTCAAGATGGCACCCATGGAAACATACTTTATGGCAACAGCTGTTTACTGCGCCGATAGCTGCCATAAAGACTAGCAGTTAGCTTTTTCAGTTCGCCGACTGTCAACAAAAAGCACAAAAAGAAGAAGAAACACACGTTTTCTTTTACTTGTTAGCATCATGGCGGAGCTAAAACCAATTGAGAGAGCTAAAGGAGGCTACGAAATCATGAACTGATAGTGACCTGGCTTTGTTACTACTCAGCTTGTAAGTAATAATATTGTTTGTCCAACATTGTGGATCTTTTTACTTTATGGCTTGTTTAGTATCAGTTGGCTCGTGTCAGCGTTAGCTAGTGTTAGCTTGTTGTTAATACTAGCTACAGAGGCTGTGGCAGAGTTGTTTACAACAGTTGTAATTCTACTTTCAGCCAGTAGTTAGGAGACGCAGGAAACTTATTCAGTGTTTCTTTAAGCCAGTGATTACCGAAATTTTCCATCAGCCCATGTTCGCATATAAGCAAAACATGCATTACAATTCATCTGTAATAATTACAGACGGCAAAACTGATGAGGATTTTGTATCAATTCACTGAAAAAAGAAAGAAGTAGCAGCTTTACATATAGAGAATTTGTACCTGAGAACTTCTTTGACTGTGGCTTTCAGTAGCGGCGCCCCCTGCAGGGCTTTCTGAGGATCACCACCTGCCTGCGCCCAGGATGTCCTCACCTGCTGTCTCACCATGTCCTGCACCTCTGGGTTGCGTCCCAGCTCAAACAGAGCGAACTGCAGGGGGACGGCTGTCTGCAGAGAGGATTAAATCAGAGGTGGCATACACACGCACGAGAGGCAGCCACGTGTATAAACACACACCGTATCAACCCCTCCAGCCATCAGCTCTGTGATGTTAGCCTTGATCAGGTCTAAGGATAGCTGCCCTTTCTCCATGAGCTGCCCCAGAACTCCGTTGTACTGGCCCTTGGTCACTGACCCCTGACCCTGGGAGGATGTCAGGCGCTGATAGGCCTTCTGGATCCTTGCCTCCGCTGGAGCAGCAAAAACAAACTTATTAAAGACAGCAAAACTAGCAAATATGTCAATCAGAACCTGTATCTGTTCCCACCATGACTGAAGATGTGGTCCCATGCCGTGGCGTGCTGAGTCCACAGAGAAGCCCCGACTTGCACCAGCAGGCGAGGGGGGATGTAAAGAAGGGGAGGGGTGGTGGTCAGCATCCGCTCCACTGCCCAGATGAACTTCTGGGACTCCAGAGACGGAGATGACGAGAACAGGCCGATGCGCTCCCCATAGATCACATGACAACTGGCTGCAGGGGTGAGGAAAAACGAGGAGGTATTAAGCTTTCCAGGAGCGTCCTCCTCCCTCACATCCATGAACCATTAAACATGTTTGTGTTGCGTTATCCTCCCATGAACCACTCTCCTCTGTGCTGCTTCTTTCCTGCTTTGCTGTTTGTGTGCTGTGGTCCATTTAGATCAGAGCTCAGAGTCATCAGCTTCACGCTCACGTCCGCAGAGAACTGCGTGCTGTGCTGACTCACACAAGGATTCACACTTGTGAAAATGGTGTGATGCAGATCGACTCGTGAAAGAAGAAACCTGAAGGAGGAAGGCTGCTGCAGCCTGGCTAATTCTATTTTTAAAACGATGGTGAAGATGTCAAGGGCAGATACTCCTCGGGTCAGAGGGACGTCTGGGGGCAAATACTTTCACTTTAAAATGATGGAGATAAGAGTTGTGAGATGTGTGCAAGGTCAAAGCTCTTTTATGGTTTCTAAAATAAGCCATGTTCATGGAAATTGGATAAATCCTCTGACGTCAGAGGACTGCATCAGGATTTGTGACTGGAATTCCTGATTGTTGGGCTGAACGGACGTGTGTGGGGTTGGAACAAGAGGAGGCAGTAATAAAAAACTAGTTAGCATTTACAGCAAATAAAACTATTCATACTTCAGCTTTAAAAAGCATGAAAAAGGTTGAAGATGAAGATGCTGTCTGACCTTCCAGTGCAAAGCGAAAAAGGTCAGGGCTGGGATCGAAGGTGAGGGTGCTCTTGCTTTCCTTTCCTCTCCCGTCCCTCTCCACTTTTCCCTGCAGCATTCTGCAGAAGTCTTTCGCCACGTCATCAAGGAGAGGGAGGAAGCGCTTCATGGCTTCACTCAGCATCACCTCCTTATTGAGCTGGAGACGGTCGGATCGCCACTCCTCGCCGTTTCTGTGGAGGAACCAGATATGGCAAAAAAAAAAAAAATTAAAACAAGAAAAGAACGAACTACCAACGTTCACTTCAGTCAGTAATAGTGTCAGCGTTTCCACTCTTGTGAAACAAAATGTCACTAAATTATGGAAGATTAGGAAAAATTTTAATCTGAATGTTGACACCGAATGCTTTATTCAATTCAATTCAATTAAATTCTTTATTCAGGACAATGCACATTAATAAACAATCAAATACATCGTATCGATCGTAAATGGGCCAGATTATAGCATAGTTGCTCATTTGCATCTGTAGTCCGTCAACAAGATAACTAAGTAAAACAAGTAACACTATACAATTTAAAAACAGTCAGATAGAAACATTCCAGTAAAATAGACAAACAAACAAAAAACTAAAGATGCAAACATGTCTGGGAACTTTAAAGATGTAGTTTGAGGTGCTTTTTAAAGGTGCTATAAGTGGGATACTCTCTCACTTCACTTTATTGTTATTGTAATTTATATCCAAAGTGCAACACTGTAATCTATATCCTGCATAATTTATATCCTGCAATACTGTAATTTATATCTAAAGTGCAATACTGTAATTTTCTGCAGCTCATTCCTGTGCAATATCCCATCTGCCCGCCCGTCATATTTCTTTTCAGGATTTTCTTTATTGACACATATATATTTAGTCATCTTTTCCCTTTTACCATGTCTCTCTAATATTTTGCTCCTTACTATATTTTTTTGCTTTATTTTATTATATTTTTATTATATTTTATTATATTTTCTCCTGTATCATGTTGCTGAGAGACCGCTGCTCGTCATACACGTTTCATTGCAATGTTGACCCTGTGCTAACTTGCATATGACAAATAAACTAAAACTGAAACTGAACTGAACTGATATTCGCTGGAATGTTGTTCCAAAATGGACTCCCTCTAACGGACAGTACCATTCGGCCGAACGTCGTTTTCCTGTAGGGGATCTCCTCTAGTGGAGGCTCTAGTACCATAGCCTTTGTCTGCTCTTAATTTTATGTATGCGGAAAGTGGAGGCGGAGCTATTCCATTAAGTGCTCTGTAGATGAAACAACTATTTTTGAACTTAATGACATTTTTCTAATTAAGCATGTTGTACTTTGCCAGAATATTACAACGGTGAAATGACAAAGGCTTTTGATCCAAGATTTTTATAGACTTATTGAATAACATTTCTATTGGTTTTAAAAGAGTGTCCCCAGTGAATGACCAGGTTGTGATGCGGTAGTCTATATGAGAGAAAGTCATGGAGTACAAAAACATTGTAGCTGAAATTGTAGTCATTGAAGATCTAATTTGTTTAAAGTTATTTATATTGAATTTAATTGTGTTCACTGTACGTTTTATATGTTTTTTAAAGGATAGTGTCGGATCCAGGGTCATTCCAAGGTACTTGAACTCTTGCACCAGGTCCAGCTCTACCTCCCCCAAGAACATGTTGGACCGCTCCGGATTAATGGATTTTTTTGTGAATATCATTGCAACTGTTTTTTTTTTTTAATTCAGTAACAGGCATGACTGATGGAGCCAAAGCTGTATGTTCTCCAAGGCTAATGTGAGAATAGATGATGCTTCCTGTGTACTTTTAGCAGGTGTAAAAGTAACCGCATCATCCGCACATTTGGAAGTGTACATTTTTACACGATACGATGCGATACGAATGTGGTCTGGTTTCGTGTACGACTTCCAGACAGACAGCCATTTACACCGACTGCCGTTCGTGTGCTGAACGTCTCCGTAAATCTGCTCCCACAAGAGCACCAGCTGATTAGAAATTTGATACAATCTGTTTAAAAATGCACCTAAAACTAATGTGAACTGATATCCCGTCGTGAAAAACAAAAGATAGCAACACCGGTTTTATTTTGAAATAAACCAGATGCACTTCCCTGTTCAACATCTCACTTCCAGCCTGGCTCATGTCATTTATTGAACTTCAAGACAAACCGGAAAAAACGGGCTCCCCGTGGAAACCTTCCAAAGTCCTACATCCGGATTTGCTCCACGCAGCATCCGGTGCAAATGCTCTGGTTGGACTTAATTATTTTTGATCAGTAAGGAAGCTGTGCAGAAACTGTTTCACATTCGGTGTGAACGTGAACATTCTGAGATTAAAGTCAGGATTTTTTTGGGCCCTAATCCTCTTCCAAACAAAATTGAACAACACAATAAAAATGAATAGAAAAAATCTGTATGATGAAATTTCTTTGTTAGGAGACCAATATCACTCTCTTTGTAAAGCTGCAGAGCAAATCAACTAATAATTGAAGTTTATTTTGTGAAACAGGTCTTTCCATCCATTTCCATCTGCTTATCTGGGGACGGGTCACGGGGGCAGCAGCCTAAGCAGTGAGGCCCAAGCGTTCCTGGGACGTGCCTGGAAAACCTCACCGGGGAGGCGTCCAGGAGGCATCCTGACCAGATGCCCGAGCCACCTCAACTGGCTCCTCTCGATGCGGAACACAATCTAACCATGGCACCGATTTCCACGTAACTTAACCGAGTACAATAACGCAGTCTTGACCATGTCAAACCAACACATTGGGCATTTGTTCGTTCAATTTATTCAGATTACATTGGATCAACGTAGTATCCTTACATTGACTCAAAATGATTTATTTAAGTATGTAGAGTGAAAACGTTCATAGAATTTCCACAACCTCACCAACGCCCTTTTTAAGTGTCTGTGCCCTGTCTGCATGTTCCACATGCTCCCTGTCATTTCCATGGTGTTATTTTAGTTGCAGACACCACTGAGTGCTTTTTGAATTTTCAGTCATTAGCGATGGCGGCACAGGAGTTAAGGGCTCACCATGTAATTGGAAGGGTTTGAGCCGCGCTCAGTCTGTTGTAGCCGTGTCCTTGAGCAAGACATTTAACCTGGTGTTCAGAGGGACCGGTGGCGCCTGTGTACGGCAGACTTGCCTCTGTCAGTGCACCCTAGGGCAGCTGTGGCTACAATGTAGCTTATCACCACCAGGGTGTGAGTGTGAATGGGTGAATGACTGATTGTGTTGCAACGTGCCTTGGGGGGTTCCAGGACTCTAGAAGGCGCTATATCAAATACAGGCCATTTGCTCACTGCCAGCTTATGAAGTATACAAAACTGTTTTGCACATGTTTATTTCTTTTAATTCATAATAGTATAAATGTGGATTGAACTCGAACTGCAATCAGTTGATTTTCACTCACCTAAAGGATTATTAGGAACACGATACTAATACGGTGTTTGACCCCCTTTCTCCTTCAGAACCGCCTTAATTCTACGTGGCGTTGATTCAACAAGCTGCTGAAAGCATTCTGTAGAAATGTTGGCCCACATTGAGAGGATAGCATGTTGCAGCTGATGGAGATGTGTGGGATGCACATCCAGGGCACGAAGCTCCCATTCCACCACATCCCAAAGATGCTCTATCGGGTTGAGATCTGGTGGCTGTGGGGGCCGTTGTAGTACGGTGAACTCATCGTCATGTTCAAGAAACCAGTTAGAAATGATTGGAGCTTTATGACATGGTGCATTATCCTGCTGGAAGTAGCCATCAGAGCACGGGTACATGGTGGTCATGAAGGGATGGACATGGTCAGAAACAATGCTCAGGTAGCCTGTGGCATTTCAACCATGCCCAAGTGGGACTAAGGGGCCTAAAGTGTGCCAAGAAAACATCCCCACACCATGACACCACCACCACCAGCCTGCACAGTGGAAAAGGATGATAGATCCATGTTCTCATTCTGTTTACACCAAATTCTGACTCGACCATCTGAATGTCTCAACAGAAATCGAGACTCATCAGACCAGGCTACATTTTTTAGTCATTAACTGTCCAATTTTGGTGAGCTGGTGCAAACTGTATCCTTTTTTCCCATTTGTAGTGGAGATGAGTGGTACCCGGTGGGGTCTTCTGCTGCTGTAGCCCATCCGCCTCAAGGTTGTGCGTGTTGTGGCCTCACAAATGCTTTGCTGCATTCCTCGGTTGTAACGAGTGCTTATTTCAGTCAAAGCTGCTCTTCTATCAGCTTCAATCAGTCGGCCCATTCTCCTCTGACCTCTAGCATCAACAAGGCATTTTCGCCCACAGGACTGCCGCATACTGGATGTTTCTCCCCTTTCACACCATTCTTTGTAAACCCTAGAAATGGTTGTGGGTGAAAATCCCAGTAACTGAGCAGCTTGTGAAATACTCAGACCGGCCCGTCTGGCACCAACAACCATGCCACGCTCAGAATAGCTTCAGTCACCTTTCTTTCCCATTCTGACCTTCAGTTTGGAGTTCAGGAGATTGTCTTGACCCGGAGCACACCCCTAGATGCATTGAAGCAACTGCCATGTGATTGGTTGATTAGATAATTGCATTAAGGAGAAGTTGAACAGGTGTTCTTAATGATCCTTTAGGTGAGTGTATTTTACTTTTCAACAGTCATAAAGAGTGTGGCATGCTGGGAAATCTGTTCCGTCCAACCAGCATTCTGCAGCGCATTGTGCGCTCTGCTGAGAAGGTGATTGGCTGCAGCCTTCCATCTCTCCAGGACCTGTACGTCTCCAGAACTCGGGGGTGTGCAGGTCGGATAGCAGCTGACCCTTCGCACCCGGGTCACAGACTTTTTGAGCCGCTTCCCTCAGGCAGGAGGTTACGGTCCATCCGGACCAGAACCTCCCGCCAAAAGAACAGCTTCTTTCCATCTGCCGTTAGACTTGTGAACAGATTATAAACACACAACCATGTTGGTCTTCTGTACTCGACACAACGTCACGTTATCGGCCATGTTACCATTACCTGCCATTTTTTTATAGCTGAAAGTTTTATGCTAGTTTTATTATACTTTATTCTATTTTATTCTATTTTTAATCTTATTATTCATGTTATATGTAGCACATTAGTACCGAAGCAAGTTCCTAGTTTGTGAATTGTTTGTTCACTGACAATGGCAATAAACCTGATTCTGATTCTGACCAGCAAGCGTAATCATGAACACAATCTATTCATGTTACCCCAACAAGAAGGAATCATGTATAAACCACATTGTACCCTTTTAGGTTAGCATTACACAACTCAATCATGTTCATCCTGCAAACGTGATCCAATTATGTAGAAACTACATGTAAGAAATTTGTAAATTGAACAGAGGACCTTCATTTTTCAGCTGTAGCTAAACATTTTTGCAACAGAAACCTAACATTTCAGATAAACATGTTTCCTGCCTTCGTTCCAAAACTGATACTAACTTGAGGAAGAGTCCCTTTCTGTGATTGCGTATCTCCCGATGTGTGGCCCACGGCTGCAGGGTCATCCGACGAGGGTGCAGCCCCTCAGACTTGAACAGCTCACTGATGTCAGATGGCAACAAGATGTTCACACTGCTGAGCGTGCCCACGGTCTCCCTTCACACACACACACAGATGCTGGTGTAACCATAAATGTACCATTTCTACGTGCGGAAGGACAACCTGCAATTGGAGAACCTCTCTGTACCTGTAGATGGGGCCAAGGGCGTTGAATGTCTGCTCCATGTGTTTGTGAAGCTGCTGAAAACGGTTTTCTCTCCAGAACTTCACCAGGTTGATCCATCCATTCCTCCCGGTGTGAGGGATCTCCTCAAAGCTGCGCACCCGTCCATCCACATCCCTCTTCCTCACATCTTTCAAAGCTCCTTTCCCCCCTTCTACGTTTCCGTCCACCACAGCACCTGCTGCAGTCATACAAAGACCCTTCTGCTGAGCAAAGGCTACAAATCTGGACCCAGACATACCCTGCACCACTGACATTCTCCTCATGGTCCAAACGAGACGTCGCTGGTCAGTCTCATCCAGAGATGTGACACGCGCTGTTGTGGGACTGGTTATTTCCCGGCTCTGACTCCAACCTCATGCAGAACCTTGACTCTTATCACTCTGATGAACTGATAGGATGCGATGATTTATGAATCGAGCATCAAAAGTTCAAGAGAAGGACAACAGAGCCAGAATGTCAGGCTGATCCAACAAACATGCTGATGCGCACATGACACAGAGGGCAAAACTCAGGACATCCAGCTGGACTTCCCTTTATTTAAAGCTCCGGCAGTAGATAAATAAATACACAATGTCTCATTAGTTTCAAGGTTTCTGCTTTCTGTAAAAATTCTCTTTACTCGCCGTCATGATCCCATCAGCCAACAGACAGAACTACAGATACAAGTTTGGCTGTTTAGGAAACAACAAAGCATATAAATAAAAATAATCATACAAAATTATTATAAACAATTCCCTGAGGTTCCTCACTTGTGTATAGACCAGCCACTTTGGTCTATAAGAGTTAAATCAGTGATTCCCAAACTTCTCTGGAGACTTTGTGACCAAAAATGAGTTCCTGAGCCAAAACTTTGAGAAACACTGATTTACCCAGATTTAATATTCATATATCATGAAGACAACAATAGTGTCACAGTTCAGCACCAGCACAAGCAGGTTTTCCACCTGCAACTTCTATAATAACTTATTCTGTAACACATTACAAATTTAATGAAATGAAAGATGCAGTTATTCATCTTTTATGTGACATTTAAAACCAATTTACAGTAATTATCGTTGCTCTATTAGCATAAAAAATGACCCATAAAGTCGGCAATAGATCGTAAGTTTGTGTATTTAACAATTCAAAAGCAGTATTTATGAAATGGTTATCTCCATTTAGCTGCAAATCCTGCACTGGCAGGTGTATTAGAGGTGTCATATATAAGAAAATATCAACTGAAATATCGCAGTATTTTGTGTCATGATACTTAATTGATCATTAAAAAGCAGTGTAACAAATTTTCATTGAGAATGTTTCTATTTTTTCTTCTGTGGTGCAATTCAAACTCTGACTGCTAGGTGGCAGCAGTTTCTACCACTTTTTAGGGAGCCTAAGTCACGCCCATCTATTTCCGGACCCACGAAATCCGCGAATAAGAAAAAATCAGTGCAAGTCAACGGGGGCTATAAAAGTTATTTTCTGATCCCCTTTGTTATGTGCCAGGGATTTCACAGATGATGTTCGTGGATTTAAAAAACACGTTTTGATGCAAAGAAAGCGCTTATTTTCGAACGTCAAGAAAATTTACTTTAGGTTTTGTGTGAAAATACATTCAAGACTTCAAATGTTCGTCTCATCAAACTGGCATCATCAAAAAAAATACGCACAAAGAAGAGGAGAAATCTTGTTTAGTGAGTTTCGAATCCTTCTTCCAAGATGACAGAAGGAGCATTAAATGTGGCGACTATAAATCTGGTTGCGTGGTAAGTAGCAGCTATATTTCGTCATACTTGCAACATCTAGTTGCTTTAATTCAAATTTTTTACAAGCTAGTAAATCTCAAACTACATGACAGGCATAGTCCAAACTCCCATTATAACTTTTCAGTAAAATTGAAGTACAACATATATGTGATTCACTTTTTTTTCTGGGGACCCGTGAGCTGACCGGAAGGCGAGGAGACTTAGACTCCCAATAACATTGGATGTGTCTTGAAAGCATCTGACCTGAGTTTTCAAATAAAATTCAATCTTAAAATTTTGAAATATATTCTGACTTTTAGTATTGTAACATCTCCCCTGTTTAAATATAATATATATATATATATATATATATACACACACATACATATATATCGTATCGTCTTCGTTGCATTGTGATATATATCGTATTGTCTCCTTTGTATTGTGATATATATCGTATCGTCTCCCTTGTATTGTGATATATATCGTATCGTCTCCTTTGTATTGTGATATATATCGTATTGTCTCCTTTGTATTGTAATATATATTGAATCATCTTCGTTGTATTGTGATATATATCGTATCGTCTCCCTTGAATTGTGATATATATTGTATCGTCTTCGTTGTATTGTGATATATATCGTATTGTCTCCTTTGTATTGTGATATATATTGAATCATCTTCGTTGTATTGTGATATATATCGTATCGTCTCCCTTGTATTGTGATATATATTGTATCGTCTTCGTTGTATTGTGATATATATCGTATTGTCTCCTTTGTATTGTGATATATATCGTATCGTCTCCTTTGTATTGTAATATATATTGAATCATCTTCGTTGTATTGTGATATATATCGTATCGTCTCCCTTGTATTGTGATATATATTGTATCGTCTTCGTTGTATTGTGATATATATCGTATTGTCTTTGTTGTATTGTGATATATATCGTATTGTCTCCTTTGTATTGTGATATATATTGTATCGTCTTCGTTGTATTGTGATATATATCGTATTGTCTTTGTTGTATTGTGATATATATCGTATTGTCTCCTTTGTATTGTGATATATATCGTATCATCTCCCTTGTGTTGTGATATACATCGTATCGTCTTTGTTGTATTGTGATATATATCATATCGTCTCCTTGGTATTGTGATATATATCTTATTATCTCCCTTTTATTGTGACATATATCATATCGTGTCTCCTCTGTTGTAATATCGTCTCCCGTGCGTTGTGATGTATACAGTACAGGCCAAAAGTTTGGACACACCTTCTCATTCGATGTGTTTTCCTTATTTTCATGACCATGACCATTTACAAAGGGGCCAGCAAGTGCTCTGGGAACTCCTTCTGTTGGAAAACCATTTCAGGTGACTACCTCTTGAAGCTCATCAAGAGAATGCCAAGAGTTTGCAAAGCAGTAATCAGAGCAAAGGGTGGCTATTTAGAAGAAAATAAAATATAAAACATGTTTTCGGTTATTTCACCATTTTTGGTTATGTGCATAACTCCACATGTGTTCATTAATAGTTTTGATGCCTTCAGTGAGAATATACCAATGTAAATGGTCATGAAAATAAGGAAAACACATTGAATGAGAAGATGTGTCCAAACTTTTGGCCTGTATCGTATATCGAATCGCCAGATTATTGCCAATGCACACCCCTAGTTTTTACGCTACATGTTATAGTTAAAACAGTACATTCATTTTTAGCAAATTATGGTAATTTCAAATATATCAAATGTTCATTTCAGACAGAAGACAAAAAATAAACAATATTTAAACGGCATTTTACAGTTATGAGCAAGTTGTGTCTATATACCATTGCAGTCAAATTAAAATAGTCCCACAGAAGAGGACACACCTCTGTATTGATCACATAACTCTACAAGAGTCTCCAGTAGTGAGTGTGGGGGTCCTGCTGGGTTTCCTCCCCCTGAGCGCCGCCGTGCTGATGCCGAGGCCTTGAAAGGCGCTCAGCAGGTTGAATCCGTCGTCCTTGGTTTTGGCTTCAGGATGAACAATCTTGGACAGCTCACGGGGGAGCGATACTTTACCGCCAAAAGACCTCAGGTGGTTTGTGTCATCAGAGCTCTGAACGATGAAGGCAGAACAGAAGCGAAGCAAAAATATTTATTATAACAGGACTTAATTATCATAATACCCCTGTAATCTTATTTTTCTGTTATTGACATTTGAACTTAACGTACTCAGACTCACACGTTCTCTCTTTTAAAATAAATAATACCAAATATTGGTTCAATAGATTAAAGTAGAAAAAATAACAATACACTTGTGGATCATTTTGACTGTTTAAACCAACATGTCGGACAAATTAACACAACATAACTAAGTGTGTTCGTTTGGGAATATTTCAGGTAGGAGTAATAATTCAGTTCATTTAAATAGGTTTCCATTGAACATCTTAGGTGTTTTCTTGCTGTGTCGTATCTCTAATTCCATGCTGTAGCTCTTTTTTAAAACACAGAGCAGTTTTTGTTTACCTGTTTTCCCGCTACGTTTCGTTTGCCAACGTTTTGCAAACGAAACGTAGCGGGAAAACAGGTACACAAAAACTGCTCTGTGTTTTAAAAAAGAACTACAGCATGGAATTAGGTTTCCAATGAAATACCCTTATAAATGTATATTAAATATTTCATAGATTATTTTATTAATTCATCTGTAAAGTGTAAGCAAAAAGAAAGAAACTACAGATTAACTTTACGGATGCACAGATTGGGCTCTGTCATGGCTGCGTCCTGCGTCTCCCTCATGTGTCTCCTTGTGTTCTCCATCCCTCTCTAGGTTTCCCTTAAGTGTCTCCTTGTGTTCCTCAAGTGTCTCCTTGTCTGCATCCCTCCTCAGGTGCCTCCTTGTGGTCCCCAGCCCCTTCCAGGTTTCCCTCCAGGTCTCTATCATGTTTCCCTAAGTCTTCTGTGCCCCTTTTGTCCCCAGCTCACTCCCAGTTTCCCTCAGGTCTGTCCTAGTCACCCCTCTGTAGTTTTTTTATAGGTTCAGCTTTTCATTTTATTAGTCTCCTTTTGTGTGTGTTTTCCTTCCCCACTTGTTAATTTGTCTCCCTCACTCCTCAGGTTATTAGTTATTTATCTTTGGTTCTCCTGTGCCCTTAGTCTTTCAGGTTTATTTATTTAGAGATTGTTTAGAGATTATTTAGAGATTATTTAGAGATTCATAGGTTAAGGTTTATCCCCTCTGCTTGGTTTTCCCTTCCCATTTAGTTAATTAATCTTACCAGTCTCTCCCCACACACCTGCTCCTCGTTCTCCCAATCACCCAGCCCCGTGTATAAAACCCTGTCTGCGTCTCAATGTGTTGTTGGTCCATTGTTGCTGTCAGTGTTGTTTTGTCCCCCCTCCTTCGTGGTCTCTAGATCTCCAGGTTTCTAGGATATTTGGCTTTCGTGCCCCGCTTGGATTTTATTTATTTTTTGTCATCCTAAAAAAGGAATGCTTTCTTTCACATCCACTCCTGCGTCATGTCGTTCTGGGTATCTGCATTTTGGGTCCTACTCCCCTGGCTCTCAGTGTGACAGGCTCAGAATTTGGCAAGACCACAGCCAGTTATGTCTTTTTCTAGCTCTTGAATAATGCATAATAAACTAATGACTTATGCATTACAGATCAATTAATAAATACTTATAAAATATTTTTAGCCAGCTGGGAAGCCTTTTTGGAAAGTGGTGATAGGGTTATGGTTACTGATCTTTGAATGACCTTAGGAGATGTAACGGAATGAAATGACTGTTTTCCACCTAAAGTCATTTCCCCCTCTCCTCTGACACAGAACTAGTCTGCATGAGATATGGCCTCAAGGTCTCATGCATTTGCTCTAAACTGCTTCTTTCCAGCTCAAGAGAAGAATGAAGAATGGACTCTCTCCCTTTAATAAATCAAAGAACTCTATTTTTAATAAAGCTAATCAATCAAAGTGTTAGTCAATTAATAAGATGCGACCAATCTGTGAAATGAAAATATTAATTACTTTATTATAATCCTATAGAATATAATAAGTAATATGACTTTAAATGTTTCCACTAGGACTGATCTCACGTAGCGTTAAGAGACGACACATTGCTTTACTGATCCAATCAGAATCTGCCAGATCTGACGGAGGCGGGGTTTTGGTGGTGCTTGGTAAATCTGTCAACTTTTCATTCGGCCGTAAATCAAAACATCCGAAGTATAAAACTATGCCCACGTCGTCTCTAACGGGAGTTCAAAGCGTTCTAGAGAAGTTGTCGGAGTGGTCAATCCGTAACTTTCCTCTTCAGCCGAAAGAACCAACAACAAGCTGGATAAAATCTGTTGCTGTTCCAACTACTGCAACAGTTCCTTTCAGAATAAAAGCTGAATCATCACAACCCAGTTTTGGGTCTCGCTAGATGCCAACCAAACTGTCGTGACCCGGGAGTATCTCAAGACTGGTGGTCGGCTGCCGCGGCTGTTCTACAGGCTCCGGCTCCATAAAGGTCAAGCTGGACCTTTACACCTCCTGATCTAGACGGGGACTTCCGCTCAGGGTAGGTAGACCGACAAATGGCGTTGAATGTGTTTATGAATCTCCTGACCAAAGCTTAGCACGAAGACATCACCTTCACTTCCCACCAGAACTAATCGTTTCTTCGGATTTGCTGGTTTGGTTCTGAGCAACATTCCACATTACACCATTCTTCGTCTCGTATGGTTACACCATACATTTAGTGTTAAAGTTAGTCTAGTTTAATTTGTTTAGTAATAAATCTTTAAACTTTTAAAGCCTGACTGAATTCTGTTGTCTCTGAATGAATAAGAAGCTGTTATCTAATCCCTGCAATAAAAAGTTCCAATCTTCTGGTTAAACAGTACCCACAGATCCATCAGGGTGATTTCATATTTGCTATGGAATCTTATGTCTTATGGCTTATTAAATAACATGTAAATTAACTTATTACAGAGAAATAGCTAACGGCTTGGCAAATTAGCTAAGATTTACTTGGATTTCTGCCATCGTAAAGCAACTCTGATCTGAATAATGTCAGACTGGCTCATCTGAACACTGTTTAAACTCTTTTCACAGGTTTCAATTATACATTGCATAGCTGTTAACATAGAAATCTGTGTGAATACCCATAAAATGGTCATTAGCTTGTCTAATCTCTGCTTCTCCAAGCTGAGGTCTCTGAGTGAGTTGTCTACAAGTAAGATATCACATGACCATAACTCTTTAAGCATCACCACAGCTGTGAAAGTTGTGGGTAAATCTTTTGAGGTTCTCACAAACCTCAGCGAGCTGATATTTCCTCCTGAAGTGAGCTCTCATAGCTGCTCTCTGTGCATTTTTCTCAGCGTTTGTAGCTTCTCGCACTTTTCTGCAAACACAAACACACCGGAAACATTATGCTCTGAATTCAACGCCTTAGTCACACAGCACCTCGGTTCAGCTCAGAGGCTTCCTCTTCATCGTGAAGAGGCTGAAGCGGTGCTCTGCTCTCAAGCACTCAGGTGATTATGCCCTTATGTTCCCAGAAGGGGGATTTAGATTAGAATGTATTTCTTTTTTTCTAAAAAAAAAAAAAAAACATACATACATAAACACGCAGATTCCTACATGATTCCATTAAATATTCCAGATTTGAAGTTTTCTGTATATTACAGCTTAAATGCAAACATTAATTAAAAAAACAAGAAGTAGCATTAATCATTTCATGGGTTTTCTAGCCCCATCTATTTAAGATTTGCTGATAATATAAGATTATTATTCTTAGTGATTCATCCTCAGCAACATACCATCAAGTCATCTTTACTGCATTTAACAGACAGTAATGGCTGCTTATTCTCCAGATTTATTTATATTTGCGTGTTTTCGTATGATGCCCAGTGTCCACTTGCCTCTCTTTCTCCAGGTCGGCCTGATACGAGCGAAGGACTGACGGGTCTTTGGGCTTGGCACCTCTGAGGGAAGGGGTTTTCCTGGACACGTTGCCTCCTCTCTGCCCCCTGCCCCTCTTCGCTCTGCGTTTGGCACGCAACCTCCTCTCTTTTGCCTCTGTCACACAACTTGCCAGCTTCCTGATCGGCATCCTGAGTGACTTTTTAAACCTCACCAGAGACTCCATGATGAACGGCGAGTCTGGAGATGAGAGGAGGAAAGCAGCAGAGCCCTATGTCCTCGACAGCTGACAGGAGGAAACAAAATGACTTTCTCCTTCATACATGTTGTGTTGCCCTGACAGTGTCACGTCTCACGTTGATGACTGGGGTTGAGACCTATCAAGGACAAGGACAACAGTCAGACAAGGCTCAGACACTCAGATTTAGGCCTCACACACACACACACACACACCACTTACATACACAAATCAGGTGTTTATCATCTACAAGAGGTGCAAGAGATTATTTAAAGGGAAAGCTGGAACCCACACAAGGCCAAAAAGTGACAAATGTCTCACTACACACATCACACGGGCTATTTATAAGGTTATTTGTTTACTTACATGCTACGTCAGCCCAGAGTTGCCTCTCCAGGTTTTTTACCCATGCAGAGGGTCACGGTTGGATAGATACTAATGAAGCACCAGTCCCGAAAGCCTTCAGCACCACCTGCAGACGGTCCTCAAAGCTTTAAATCAAACAGAACAGGAGGGACAACTCCAGAGGAGACATTGCATGTCCTAGTCCTTCAGGTCAGGTCTCAGCCTCTGCTTCCTTCATTTCCTCCTCCAGACTCACACAACACCTTGCCACCCCCACCCCCCCACTCCATCCTCAACTCGGATTAGGGGATTTAATGAGGGGAATCTCGTTAGCCGTGGCAGGGAATGCACCGAACGACTCACGTGTTTGTGATGGAGCTTTACAAGCTGATGTCATGTTGAGCGACACACGCGTGTTCAGCAGGCCTGACTTCAGACCAGTTTTAAGGGATGCCAGCCAACAGAACAAATAAACCGGGACCTCTTGTAGTGCTTATTTTGGTTCACTGCGTTTAAAAACGGAAAATTGTGAAAAGAGAAGAGGAAGCAGACAGACGCATGGGTAGCGACCATCTTACCTGGGGTTCCAGAGAAATTTTAAAAGATGTCAAATTGACAGAAAATCTACACAAAACAAATAAATACTGCAAAAATAACATTTTTATCTTTCAAAAGGTTGTTTCACAAAACAGAAACAAATACTAAAATTCCAGTTCCTTCCTAATAGTACTTCAAAAGGCGTGTGAGAAGGTGGAGATCAAGGGCCCAGGTGGGATTCAGTCCCCAGACTCCCAGGTGAGTCATATTCGCTAACCAGTCAGCCAAAGGGGCATCCTCATGGCCTAGTAGCCCGGGTGCATGATCAATCGGGACACAGTGACAGGACGCTCACCCTGTCACATCAGCATACACTCTTTATTTTGATAATTCTGCTGTGGTCTTTAGTATAAATGAATGTTGTGTGAGTCGATTTCTGTGGGGAAAAAGCTCTGGCACTCATATGTCAGGAACCTAGAGGAGTTAGGGGCAAAAAATGGGGAAATTTGGATTTTTATTCATAATTATCTCTCCTCAGATTGGCAAACAGCAACACAACTCTTCCACTGCCTCCATTTTTTCTTTTTTTTTGTTGCAATGTTGGTGTTTTAGCTCTACAAATAGCATAAGCCAAGGAGTTCTGTCATGATGTGGAGTTGCTAATGCTAATGGTTAGCTTCTCCTAGAAAAAACAAACTCTGAGCAACGGCCTTTCCCGTATGACGTAGATTTGTGTGGCTTTGTCTGACCCGAGGAAGCTGATGTTGCATCAATTCATGCAGCCTGTTAGTTCATTGTGGCCGTGAGATGTAAAAGAGTGGCTGATTTGTTTCCAGACATTAAAGACCTACAAGCTGAGAGCCATTAAACAGTAAAGTCTGTGACAGAAGAAGAGGTCGGTCTCTTGAGAGCCCACAAAGTAATCAGCAGGGTTTTAAATTGGATTCTGAGCTGAACTGAGAGCAGTGAAGGTGCTGCTGGAATGTTTGTTTAAAATAGAGATTACCTTTAAATTCATGGAAATCAGTGATAAAACAATTATTCCAGATCTGTTGTATCATTTCTTTTGTTCTTACTTGTAAGGTTTTTATATTTTATTTTTAATCATATTTTTCCACAAATTTATTTTCTGCTTTTGTAAAAAGTTTGTGCATAAATTAACAATTTGTTAGAAAAATTGTAATGTTATTTCATGTGATCAATATAATATTTTGTATCGCTTTAAAGAATTCTTTAACAGTATGTTGCAATACGACACATGACATATGAAACTATACTTTCTAGTCTACTTATAAAGTATTCCAGGTCCTTATTCACATCTTGTTCATGAGCCTACTCACCCACACTCATTTAGGGTTAATTTTTTGGCCTCAAATGAATTTTTACAACTAGATGTTTTACAAAAATGAATAATGGAAATATAAGGCAACAATGCAAAAAATGGTGTGCTTTCTGTTTTTAGGTCATGACAATGGCCGTGTTGGAGTTGAGCTGCGCCTCGCCTGGAAAACAGACGAGAGCAGACGGAAGCAGCAGGGGGAGTGGCTGAAAGCCGGCGTTTAAGGTCGGACACAATTTCCTACATGTGTAGCTCGGGGGGTGACGATGGCTGAAGATATCGTGTTAGCGTTCACACTTGTTTAATTTTCTATTTTAATTCTGGTGCCTGTTAGCAGCTGAAACACATCCTCACGTGCTTGTGGATATCATATGTTGTATATGAAGACATGACTGTAATAATAAGTAAAGGTTAGCAGCTGTAGCTTTAGTGTGCTCATAGGAAACATGACAAAAGAACACAAAACATATTTCTCTTTATGGTAAATGGCCTGTATTTGATATAGCGCCTTCTAGAGTCCTGGAACCCCCCAAGGCGCTTTACAACACAATCAGTCATTCACCCATTCACCCATTCACACACACATTCACACGCTGGTGGGGATGAGCTACAATGTAGCCACAGCTGCCCTGGGGCGCACTGACAGAGGCGAGGCTGCCGAGCACTGGCGCCACCAGTCCCTCCAACCACCACCAGCAGGCAACGTGGGTTAAGTGTCTTGCCCAAGGACACAACGACAACGACAGACTGAGCGGGGCTCGAACCTGCAACCTTCCGATTGCGGGGCGAGCACTTAACTCCTGTGCCACCGTCGCCCCATAATGGGCTATATAGTTGTCATCATCAACGTTACATGATTTACAGAATACATGTGACCAACTAACATTTCATGTTCTACCACCGGATGTTTGGATCAAAATTTGAACCAATCAGATCTTAGATCAGGCGAGAGCCAGGCGTTTCCTGTCATCCCCTAGGTTTTGCAGCTGAGGGAGAGCAACTGCAGTGCCTTGCTCCAAAATCTGCGGCCGCCTTGATCTCACGAGGTTATCGTTGCCTACGCATGCATGACGTCAGAGCAAGCCGGCGTCAAGTCGGACACAAATCTAACCGGCATGCACTGCTCGCCGATCACCGGTGATCGAATCTGCGCAGAACTGGCTCATCTCGAACACAGCCATTGCCCCATTCGTTTGTATGAAAGGGGGCGGGACTTAAGACATGTACTGAAACCGGCCACTAGGGGCACCTGCATTATTTTGACTTTAGATTTTGCCGTGTGTTTTTGTACATTGTACACTGTATTAAATACTAATAGTGTGTCTGATTGTTCAGTTGCCACTGATGATGTTGTGTGTTATATTATAAAGAGTGTATTCAATTCAATTCAAGTTTATTTATATAGCGCCAAATCACAAGAGTCGTCTCAAGGCACTTCACATGGTAAACATTCCAATACAGGTCACTTCATTAAGCCAATCAGAAGAAAGTTTCCTATATAAGGAACCCAACAAATTGCAGCCACAAAGAATACAGCTACGCACTTCTCATTTGACTAATATTTCTTATATTTTTAATTATTATTGCCTTCTTGCAGGGTTCTTTTGCTTATCAGCTAACTCCAGTAACCCAGTTGGCACTAAATGCACATTCTCTCATGTTCTTGTCCCTCTGCCGCTGAGCTCCCTCTGATTTGTCAGTTAATGCTTTAACAAGATCTCAGTTTGAGTCACGCCTCCCTGAGCTCAAAAACAGATCTGGGATCAGTATTACTGCAGAAATACATGAGATTGTGTTGGTTCTGAGTCAGCAGTATCAGCAGGACAACATAAGTTAGAAAACAAAGGGTCACAAAGCAAAAGCTGATCGTTTACAAAAATAAACCCCAATAATAAAGTTCTCTAAATTATTACTAAAATCAAACACAAGCATCAAATGCCAAGGAGCGCTGCTTTTCTGTGTGTGTTTGATATTAAACTCACCTTTTGGGATGGCCGACTGCACATGCGTGTTAACGTGCGCCCTGAAGATGGCGTGTCACGTGTTTGATGCTGATCCAACCCAGAATCCTTTAAGTGGCTCTGGGCCATCGGCCTGCATGGAACTAACTCGCATATGTGCACGTTTTTTTCTAATTTAGTTTTGGTTTTCAAGTTTATAGGAAGTCCTTAAAATCTTGTGTGCAGATCTGGTTTTGGATTCCATTGTGATATAAAAACAAGTACACACACACACACACACACACACACACACACACACACACACACACACACACACACACACACACACACACACTTTGGGGGATATCAAAGTTGTAGTTCACTGAAAAAACAATTTTAAAATATTATTTCTGATTCTAACGCGTCACTCTGAGTGTTTCATGCAGGCTGAACATGAAAATAGTCTCCTACACTTATCTCCTGCTTCTGATAGGAAATAGACGGCGAAACTCTAGGATTAGAAAATCCTGACAGATCTACGTCACACTGGCACTTAACATTCATGGACTCACCCATCTTGACTTACAATGGGGAAGGCTGTTGTTGGTTTAGCATCCAGGAAACAGCCAAAAATGCCTTGGCTAGTAGAAGCCAACTGTTAGCATTAGCAACTCCACCACATGGCCAAACTCCTTTAGGCTTGTGTTGTTTGTGGAGAAAAAAACATCAATGGAAGCAATGGTAGAGTCACATTGCTGTCATCCAATCTGAGGTAATATGTTCAAATATCAGGAAGTAAGACTCCAAATCCTGCCGTCTGAAGATCTCCCCTGGTGTGGCACATTTCTAGTTCCTGAAACAGGCACACCAGAGCTTTTTTCCTCCAGAGTAAAACTTACAAGGCATTCCTTTTTACGAGACCACTGTAAATATATTGATTAAACCAGTGTTTCCCTATCCGGGTCGTCATGCATGATTTCCATGTTGCCCTTTTAAACACCAGTGTTTCCTTGTTGCCATACACCTGACTTAAAGAAACTATCTGTAGTTTTTACCCTTAATTTCTGGAAATATCCATCAAAATGTTGTTGAAAATGAATGAAATGATGCCCAGTTGTTGAAAAATATTGGCAGCTTTGTAACATATAACCATAAAATAAGGGTGTTTCTCAATGTCAAGGCACCAGGCCTTGTGAGGGGATGTATAGCGAGGCCAGGCAAAGTCAAAGAAAACGGTTAAATGGAACAGACTTGCATCACGTGACCGCGGCTTCCACAGTGGCCATGTAACGTCACGTGACACGGGAAACG